GCGTGGGAGTTTTCCACACCTTACTTCTGCCCAGCTGTTCATCCCGGCGCCCGTATCCTTTAGCTCGCTCAGTGCACGAAAGCAGGAGGGAATTGTTCTCTAAGCGTTCCAGTGTCTTGCTTCCGCAGCATCGCTGGTCCAGAACCTTTGGTGAACAGCATCTCTGGGGAAAGATTTAACTTTGCGGCCTCTTGCGTGTGGCCGCGTCTGTATTGTTGATTGAGGCCATGGTATGGCGCTCAACATAAAGAATGCTGTGCACTTGTGGCAACTATCGGTTCAACCCGGCAAAGCCGTAGCTAGGCCCATTTGTTGACGGGCTTCGGCGTCTTGTTGGCCTAATCCGCCGCTGTGCGGGTGTGTCGAGGTGAATTCGATTCTGGGTAACGTTACTCATTTCTGCCCCAATTAAATTCGTTGGGAAACAATTAGCGTTTTGCAGAATGTCTGGTCATGTGAACGTATCACGAGCGTGCTTCGCAGGTGGATGACTAATCAAGAAATGGCTCAGTGGCGCAACAACGAATTAAGCGGCTGCTGTGTACAGCTGTGGGGTGTCATTCACCGTGAGAGCTCTTTGCCCCACAAAGTTATAGTTTCCAACCTTAGGAGGGTTGCTTGCACAGACGTACTTTCAACAGTGCTCATACTGGCTGTAGTGCACAGGCACTACAATGGGGCTGGCTAGTGTCCTAGAGATGATAGCTAGCTAGCGACCTACAAGGGGTCGCAACACTGGAGGAGGACAGGACCCTCCCAATAGGATGAAAGTAAGAAAAACTGTCCATTAGTTCTAATGAATACGTGAAATGTGTGGAAATTGTGTGGAGACTGGGGCTGGAGATAGCGCCGGCACCAGTGCGGGGCTCCTCCCCATAGGGCCTAGGAGGCGAGCTCCCAGAGTGGGGCGAGTCGAACAGACAGATTTGAAACAAGTAAGAATTGTTGTGTTTCGATGGAATAAAGCTATAGTGTCCGAGGAATGGGGCTACGCTAGGCGTAGTTTGTAGGCCTTCTCGAGGGGCAGGAAGCAGCGTAGTCGCAGCAGTAGGCGCCGCGCACTACACTGCCCATATTGATCTGGCACACAACCCTAAACCACAACCCTCGTAGCACTACCTTCTGTATCTCCTGCTAGCTGGATGTAGCGATGTAGTGCGAACGAAGTAGTTTGCAGAATTTAGGGCATCATACTCTACACTTATTCCCCCCACCAGGTGTTACAGAAAACTATATTCCGCATAAGCTATAATTAAAAACTTTTACAATAGGCTGCTCATGCGTACACATGGAGTGGGGCAGCAGGACGCGGCGAAAGGAAAAGCATCGAAACGGGACATCGGTGGAAATTCGCTACCATGAGGTATAGGCGACACGCGGCTCTCTGGATTACCAGTATTTCCCAGGTTTTGTTCCCCGAGCACTGAATGCACCAACCTGCACAGCGCTCAGCTCCAAGCTATCCACATTGACGCATGCAGTTAACAGAACTGCTGCCTTGGCGTCTGATTTCGAAAAACGCCAGCGTATGAAGCACTGTTCCATAATCCAACCTGCCTGATGGTCTGCCCTCTGGGCCAGGTAGTTGCGTAGTCGCAGCACTAGGCGCTGTGCACTACATATGGGGGCTGTTCTGGGAATGAATTTTTTTTCCTTTCCGGACCTGATAGTAGAAACATGTTGTCTAAATGATTCACACCCAGATATCTTAATATGGTAAGGAATGCATCTCCGCAACGGACGCGTGGGAGGTGCCTGGTATACACTCAATCCAGCCGTGGAACTGACAACTGAAACTAATGTGCCGTCGCTTCTGATCACGTAGAAGGCCATTGCAATGGCTAGAAAAACGCATGATCAGATCGTCCTCGTTTTTGTCAACGTCTACATCATTGAGAAGAGCACTCACTTATTTGTCAGCTAGGCTAAGAGGCCATCGGCTCTACAAATCACGTGCTGTTAATCAAAGGAGCTTAGGCATTGAAATGTTCTTGGAGACCCCAGATATCCACTTCATATCTGAGGGCAGCCGAAGCAGAACTCTGGATGTAGATCAGGATCGAAGTTGATCGACACGCCGCATGCGCTGGCGAACCTCATTCCAGCCCCATTGGAGTACTGCTAAGTTATAGACAACTTGTATAACGGTATGGGCTGTTTTTGATTTTCAGATTGTGGTGTTTCCTGTATTTGTTGCAGTCGTACTGTATTGGCCAGCAGGTCGTAGCCTCAACCGGCGCTTACAGTGCCTTGCAACTACAACGTGTCAAGCCTCTGCAATTCACTGATCCTCTATCTGATTCTTCTATGATTCATTTTTGCGCCCTAGTGAATTAAAAGTAGGTCCGGAGTGCGTTATACCGCTGGACTGTAGAGCGGCACCCCGGTGTGGGGTTGCCTCCAGACGTGGACAGGGACGAACGCTCCTAGCTCGGCGGAAATGTGGGAGCAGGTGGCACCCAGAGCAGAAGTGAAGCGTGCAGATCGTCTCCAGGGGAGGAAAGTTGTCGTCTTGCTTGAAGATGCGTAAGCCACGCCCGAATGCCTCAGACTACGTGGGCTCCTGGGTGTGGCCCCTTTCCAGAAAAGAGGCCAGCCTTTGTATCATTTGCGGTGTGTTTCAGTGTCCTGGATTTGGCTAAGGGACGGGAAGGCTCTCTTCAACTACTTGAAGGGTTCCAACATCGGAAGTTGCTGCAGCAAGAAAACAGGAGTATCGCAGTGAGCCTGCGAGTAGTCCAAGTAGTCTGCTCGAAGCTTGGCTCGCAGTGTGACTTTGCAGTACTGTGGCATCAAGAGAAGGGCGCGGAATGCCAGTAACTAGGCATCATCACTGCGCAGAGCAGAGGGTTTCTGCGCCTGTGGGAAGACACGGTAACTCCTGGTTCTTGGTGTTCTTTCCTGCTCTGTGGTGTTGTGAAGGATGTACGGCCAGACATAACGCACCAATGCCTTATAGCCTTGCAGGAGTCTCCCTTGAACAAAGTAAGCCGGAAAGAGGCGCTCTTGATACTTCAGTCATCCGGCTTGTGAGTACTTGAGTGCCATGTTCTTGAAAAGACTATGGAGCACTAGCGTTTAACGGTACTGCGATGCTCTCTTGGTTGATGCTGCCAAGACTTCGTTGGTTCGTGTCATGTTGCAGGCAGGTCGTCTTTGCGTGTTCATCCGAACTCAAAGTGGGCAGCTTATTGAAGTACATCCGCAACTCAGGGTTCCACCAACATATGATGAATTCAGAAAGCTCATGAGTATGCCTGAATAATTATCTTAAATTTGCAACTGTTTGCGGGCGCACCTCGAGCTCGTTGTACTTGCCCGCCGAAAGAGTGAACATACGGTCTTCTGACCCTTAACAAACGGCTGTTGTAGCCGCGGGGGACTTTGTATTGTTTGCCCAGTTGTCACTTAGTATGGAATTTCTGTGAACCTCAGTTAACCTGTTGCACACTCGGCGGATACGTGCTGTGGAAAAGAATGTGACACTTATGCAAGTAAGACACCAAGCGACTCTAATCTGACGTTTGTAATCGATCCAACCAGTGGCTAACTTGAGCAGCACTTCCTACGACGCAACCCTACTGCAGACACACGGGGCTCGGTTTTTGCTGCAACAGGTGACAAAAAATGACTCAAATCTCTTTCTGCCGGTGGGCAGCAGGAAAATTGGTGAGCGACAATGGTCTATCGCCGCACCGCGTCTCCGCGATGCGGACAGAAGTAGGCATTTCTGAAGAGGCGTCATCGTTTTAGGGCCCTTGCTATCAACGTGGAGACACGTGTAGTACCTTTTGCGCGTTTTAGTGGGCAGTCGTTTTATAGCTGCGAGCAGCAGCAACCTCCAAATCATTTCTTTGACATTTGTATTCTGCTCGCGCAGCCCTATCCACTCAAGGCCGTCCGGTAGATCTCGGTGATTTTGTACAACAGTTTCAAGATACAAAGAACCCAGTTTTATTCCTTGTTGGCGCTGTTGCCCACGCAAACCCCAGTAAGGCAATAAGAACGTCCTCACTGGAACGGCGCCACAGCTAACTTGGAGTATTTCTGGACCACTGTGGGGTAGTGAGCCGAAGTTTCTGGCAGCTCCGCTTTTGCGTGTACCCGCAGCCACTAACAGCGAGCTGGCAGAGGAGTGCATTTCCATCGCTCCCTGTGGATTGAGTGCAGCAGTAAGCTCGACATGTATTTCCTTTCTTTTTTCAGCTACCCATTAGGTTATCAAGTCGGTGGTGTACCATGCAACAGCATTTGCGGAACTATTTATTGAATAAGGCGATGCAAAACTATCCACAAAGCTATCTTCTTGCCATGCTCCGTGGAATATTGACTATGTGTAGGCGTAGATATGTGCCAGAAAGAGCCTGAAATCTGATCTACAGGGCTGTCCTAGTTTGCTACGTGCGGTGTCCCAGGTTTGCTGCAGCAGCATCTGTGCAGAGTTCGAGAACTTGTGGAATATCTACTAATTCAACAAACCATGCGCCGTGCCACATCAGCAGGCACTCGCTGCGGACTCTCTCCAAGAGTAGCCGTCATCGAGGCACTTCGCTGAAGACTAGCGCCCGTCTAGGCAAACAACTAGAGCTGCCACTTGCAGCATCATTACTGACGCTTCTTCTCCGCTGAGGAGCAGCGTGTAGCTGTGTCCAGACACCGCGGCACTACGACATTATTTCCATATTTCGATAGTCTGTAAAATTTGCTGCACGCATCAGTTTTTATTTGAAACTGTTCAAAGAGCCTACTGTCGATGCATGGGCTTTTGAAGTCCCGATGCAGACACAGGAATGCAGTTTTGCGTGCTAGCATTACCGCCCCATGATGCACTAAAACGTCCCCAAGTCCGCCAAAAAGCAGACATTTGGGGGGGGGAGTTAAACTGGCAAGAATGCTCTCTCGGTGCCACTCAAAGACCCGCTGTCCACCCCCTGTAACGATAACGCTACCTTGAACCAAATAAGTTCTTCGCCCGCACCTACGTTCTTCACCCACACCTTTTAGTTCAGAAGTGGTGCATCTGAGAGATCTATGCTGCGGCAAATGGGGCATGCATTTTCGTTGTGCTCAGCTCCGATGTCGCACCCACAACGCTTACTGACATACATGCTCGTCTCATCCACTGCTGTCATGTCACAAGGGGTAACAGTGCGCGCTTTTCGTCCTTTCTGTGCGGATCCATAGTCGGGCTCAGACACTTTACGCATGGGGCGGGATGTCTCCATCGTGGCTTCACTCGCGATGTCTTCGGCGGGCACCTGCTTCTCCTTTTCAGCGGGTTCCGCTTCTTCAGGCTGCTCAGCAGCTTCCTCGGCTGCTGGCTGCTCGACTGGCGCAGCCGCGCTGGCCTGCTCCTGAGCTCTCCTTTCTTCTTCGGCCCTTCTCTCTTCCTCCTCTCTTTGGCGACGCGCTTCCTCTTCAGCCCTTCGAGCCTGTTCCTCTGCTTCAGCGGCTGCTGCCGCTGCAGCAGCAGCTTCAGCCTCAGCTTTAGCCCTAGCCTCTTCCTCGCGTGCTCTGGCTTCCGCTGCTTCGGCCTCGGCCCTTGCCGCCTCCGCCTTGGCACGCTCCTCGGCTTCCCGAGCAGCCGCCTCAGCGGCTGCTTTTTCTTCGGCTTCTTTTCGAGCCTTTTCTTCCAGCTCCTTAGGATCAGCCCTTTTGGGCTGTTTTGCCTTGTTTTTGCCACAGGCAGCACCCATTTTCTAAAAGTGAGGTGTGTGAAGAAGGTAGAGATGCCTTGGGTGCGCGTGCTCCAAGCGACCTACCGCTAGAGCAGCAGGAAGGAATAAGTTGGGGAGCGACAATCAAGAAATGCTACAATAGTTACTTGTATGTGCAAAATGTACAGCTTAGGGCAAATGCAAGATCTGCGAACGAACCACGAGTCAGTCGATGCAGCACCCAGCGGCCCGTTGGAAACCGCCACACAATAAGCGGTGAAGAATTAGGTTGAGGGGGTGGTACAAATGACGAAAAAGGGAACCAACTCCTCACCTTCAAAGTTTCCGGTGACGAAATTTAGAACAAATGGATTCTAAGCAACAAGATTCACCCTGAGCACGAAGCAGCCGTCTCGATGCGGCGGCTTGCAGTGGTCAGGCTTTACCGACAGCTGTCGGCTGCGTTGCAACCGTGGACCACCCGAGCGCACACGCCGGCCGGCTAGTGACGCCCTCTCACGCGAGCACATAACCAGCGGAATCAATTATATTAGATATATTTTGTCAAAATATCGGCACTGTTGTTACGAAATTCTGCGATGCGCAACGGCCCGAGCCAACTCGCACTCGATCCAAGTGCAATCCACTTGCTGCGTGGTTCAGCTCCACTTGCCCGCCACAAACAACAGTAAAGTAAGCTTCACTTAGCAAATTTCTTTGCAGAATCTCATGAACCTTTCGAAATTCCCGTCCACTTTCTCATCCTACAGTCTTTGGTGCACCGTAAAGATTTTGCAGCTAGCTGCACTGCCACTTGCTGTGCCGAATGACCGCCAAATAAGCAGCTTCAGAAAAAAGCAGTTCTACAAATCATTTCTGCAACTCAGAAGGCTACAAAACACAAGAATTTTGGTTGGTTCTTCCGCCAGTAGTCATGTAGCCACTTAGGGCTACCAAGCGCTGCATTTGTGTACCTAAAGACAGGTCAACGTTTCACCGTCATCTGCATCTACCTGATTATGTTGCCAGACACTGGGCGATTGAGATTTTTTTTCGGCGACCAACAGACAGCAACCTGGTTCCCCTACAAACGGCACCGGCAGGCCTGAGCAGCCGTCACTTGCTTCTGGAAATGCCACGGGGTCCCCGGTCCCACATGCCTCGTCCATAAAATCGCGCTACAATTACTGACCAGCAAATCGTTTAAGCAGAACTCCAGATAGGTACTCAATGCAGAAAACGGTCAGCTTAGATCTTTTTCTTATTCAGAGCAACGACGGCAGAGCGGCAGCTGCGTCTTTCACAAGCTTCTATAGGTGGTAAAACCAACAGCGGCGACGGCAATGAGCAACTGCAAGCCACGCCTGTAATTTCAGTTCTCCTTTTAGTTGTTTTCCAGGTGAATATTCGTGATCTCTTCCATGTTTCACTGCCCACTGTATTTTGCCATGCGGTCAGGCTGTGTTGCCTTTGGTCCTATGGTTAATCACTGTTGAATGTTCGTGCTCTACAAACACATCAAGTTTTGTCGCGTTGTTTGTGCCCGACCCAACCTGCAACTAATCGACACGGGTCAGTTTTTGCTGTACAAATGTGAGCTAGTTGCTCCGACCAAGCGTTGGAGAGGCATCATCGCTGCAAGGCAACCCTTGATGCAGAAGAAAACAATGACTTTTGCATTTGAATTTACCCGTGTCCTATTCTCTCCTAGTCGGAGTCAGTTCGTGATGCTCTGTGTTGGGGGAGAGTATACCGCACGCTAGGCCTTCTGAATTGCCATAGGTGTTATGAAGCTATTTTTTTGTCGTGAGTGTACGCCTTCCCGACGTTTTCATTGCCATCAGCAGTGAAAAAGTAGGCAATCACTCTGCAATATGCCTTCCTCATCCGCTCAAAGTCAGGTGCTCACAAGCCTCAGCTTTCCCTTAAAAGAAGAAAAGTGTATCTTTCATCTGTGCTCATTTATTTGCTCAATTTCGACAATAAAGCGTGCTTTTCTCGGTTAGTCAAACACAGTTTGTCTCTCTCTTTCCGTATTTTGGGGAAAGAAAATCATCCTCGGCACATTTTACTTTCGTGTTTAAGCTGGGCATGAGACTAGGTTGTTGATGGCACCAAGCCTACCTTCCTTGGGGATCTGTCTCTTTTGGTGATGAAGTGCGACTGTTATGGCAGCATTGATTAATATTTCATGCAGCGTGTAGCTATGTTCAGACACCGCGGCACTATGGCATTACTTCGATAGTCTGTAAAACTTGCTGGCTGGCAGGCACTAACCAAGAGAAGCGCTCCAGATCCATGCTGCAAAATATTGAGCGTCCCTTATGTGTACGACTGCATTTTAGCCAGCTTCATGAAGTGGCTTGTAGCGCATTATAAGATCAGTACTTGGCCACTAGCATTCGGTTATTGGGTTCTCGAGTGCATTCTCTTGCAAAGTCGAGTGAGAGTAATCCCTGATTCCGTGAAACAGGACTATGAACAACACGATTTTGACGTTTTTGGGGTCAAAGTTCTCTTGAATTTCACTTCCTTCTTCTCATGCACGCGCCGTGATCTATCTATGCTTCAGCTTTCGGAAGTGACCATTCGTCTGTGTGTTAAATTGATAGCACTGCCAGCGCCACGCTACATTCAGTGGCTCTAAGCTGGCGCGAGCGTGCAGCCGGCAACTTGGAAGGCGACGAGCTTGTTCAGCCCATTGTGGACTTCATTTCCTGCGAAAGAAGCAGTCAGTCTTAGTCGTGTGTCATTTTTAGAATCATTCCTGTATCACAGGTTCTCCTGAGGCTTCAAAGGCATTCCTGCACACATCTTGTTACGCTAGTGCTGCGTTGCAAATTGAGAGCAGCAACGAAGTATGGCAAACGAAAAGACGTTTGCTGTAGGCATGATGCCCTTTAGTAAGGAGCGGAGGAAATAATATCATGCTTTTGGCTTAGCCGGAAAGCCTTAGGGCTTTGACTTCAAGCTCCGCATTGCTCTGCTTCTTAACCAGGGATGTAGTTCAGAGCGCAACAGGGATCGACAGCATTTAGAATGCATACGTAAACGAATGATGCGTTCCCTTTAGAGCTGTTGGGTTCAAGCAATGGCCAGTCTGCAATGTGTGCGACTTCAGCAATGCGAATAAGACACATACGAGCCGAAGCTGCTAGTATATATCCCTCCTGTTCTATACGAAGGCTAAATCATCGATCCAAGGGGAAGAAAGTTCCTCGAAGAGCTAAGCTTGTGACGCTGCTTTAGAAAGTTAGAGCTGCACAGTCATAGAATGACAGTAGTTCTTGGCTGTTTTATTTCAACTAAGCATGACGACTTGAATGCATCGCAGGATTGAAGTCCCTGTGAAGTTAATATCTGGTATTGTGAATATGACGCCATCCTTGGATACCACTCGCAGAGGCTGGAGATGGGTTGCAACAAAGGGACCCTGTTCCGATAAAGTCTTGTCCAATTAAAGCTGTGTGGCAGTTATAGACCACGTACAACTGACCCTCCGCCCTTGTCTCATTGCGTCAAATCGTCTTCACGTGTAAGGCGTGCGGCACAGCAAATGCTGCAGCGCAGGTTCTTAGAGGATGGATGATAAAGGCCGGCTTGGTGGCTTTCATAAATCCCCAAACAGTAAGCTTTAGTGTCTAACAACGTCGCAAAGCTCAGTCACACGTTGTTGCTGTGTAATCGCTCCTCCTGTGACGCCCCGTGAGTGGGGAATGAAGATTGCTCTCAACAAAGCGCCTACGCATAGCTTGTCTACCATTTAACCTGTATGTTTTCCAAATATCAAACTTGCTTACTGCTCTGATAAGGCCTCATGCAAGGCCCCATGCAATTGCAGCGTTGTTCTCACCTTGTTATTGGTTTGAAAGACCGTACTGCAGACAGAGAAGCACTCTCCAGAGGGAGATGCGTCATCCTCTATGAACGTAAGAGAAACTGCGACGAAAAAAATCTGTGGGAGGCAGAAGAGATGCAGATCTGAAGCCCTTGCGCCAAAATCCCAGTGTGCTAGTGGAGCGCGCATTCAACGCAAGCCAGTAGTAAGAGTAAGCTTCCATGAATATCAGTGCAGTTTCAAGCCAGAAGTGCCGGCCCCCATCCTTTTGCTGCATCTACAGGCTGCGGCTGGCAAGGGACCTGCTACAGCCACAGCCATTGGCCACCCACGAGGCTGTGGTCCTGTTGTACTGTGCTGCATAGACGGTTCCAACTTTACAGTAGCGGATCACTGGCTTAAAGCCGAAGTTGTTTGACACCATTTCACGATAAACCATGTCATAGCAGATACAAATGCTCAAAATGAACGCTCACGAAAGTTGGAGAGAAGTGCATTGATCTTTCAGCAACTCTATGCGGCCTCGCAATCGAATTTAATGTATTTTGTCGCTGCTCACAAGCAGCAGTTCCGAAATAGAAGAGATTACAAGGGTTAGATTATTACAAACGCAAAAGACGGAGGAGATGAAGCGTTGAAGGCCTGGAGGTGTGCAGAGTGATGGTGGCAGCCGCCCATAGTGGCAACTTCCTCAAACACACACATGCATAAACTCGCCAAATACATTACGAAAAAAACCTGCTGAAGGGACGAGAAGGCTGAAATTCATGGAGCACTCGTTGCGAGCAGCTTCGACATTTGTTCGCCAGCAACTACGATGGATGTAGCACTCCAGGCCGACTGAAAAAGGAATAACAAGGTCTCAGCATCTGTTTAAAACATACATAGACTGAGATAAGCATTAAGCGTGTCCAGCTGTTAACAGCGGTCGGCTACATAAACCATTGAACTCAGTGCTCTCTATGGCAAAACCCACACCGATTGTCGTATATCGCTGTGAGAACAGCATCGGCTAGCCCGTTAAGCCGCTTCAACTCGTTAGATATCAGTAAAAGTGCTAAAATTTAGTACAAAAGCGGGCAAAAATTCAATTAAATGGGTTGTTGCTTTCTTGGGAAAGCGAAATGTGTACATGGACGGAATGGTCGGTCGGCTGCGACGGCGTCGAGCTATGCATGCTGAGCCACCAAATTGCATACTTCATTCTTCCAGTTAGTCAAAAGGTAACTCAATTTAGTGCCATATATACTTATTTCCCGTCGCTTTCCTTTTATTCTTTTTGTCATGTGATGGTGACTGCTCCGTCATCTGACTCCGCTGGGATCCAGCGGTTCACGGGAACGGAGAAGCCACTTCACGTTTTATTTCCCGCTTCTCTTTTGTTCATAACACCAGAGAACTTCTTAACAGGTAGTGTTGCTTGCAACTAGCCGTCTCTGCGGAGGGTTCATTGCGCTGCCATACTGACGGGTACATCAAAGCGAGAAAATGGTCATGAGGCAGCACAGTGAATGCACACCGAAGCAGCGTCAACCAAATGCACCAGGCAGTTGGAATGATGGGCACATATTTGGTAATGGCGCCCATGATGTATGCGTGGTTTCTGGGGATGAGTCACAGCCTGTAACCTGGCCCAGGGTTGTGAACGGACGCCTTTTTTACCGAGGGCAGGTAAAAGTAGGGGAGAAGATTTTGCCTGTCAGCAAAGAAGCCCGATTTGGTCCGTCTGCCGGCGATGATTCGGACTGTGTTGCTGACGACCTTGCGGGGAATTATGATGGGAACTTCCCGGAGGCGACAGAGCATGACATTTCTACCCGAGTCAAAGTAAAGGGGACGATCAAATCGAAAGATGGAAAAAAGCAGAAAGCTAGAGCTCACCTTGCAGCTTCTGGTCGCCTGATCGTAGAGTCTATTCCCGAGACAGAGCATGTTTCGCTTGACGATCTGGATGGTCAGGACCTGTTTACGCGTGAGTATACTGCACAGGAAAGCTCACCGAAGTCTTCTACTGAAAAGGAAGAGCTGAAAGTTTTGATATACAGATGACGCAATGGCTCAGCATTAGGCTCTGTTCGCGCGCAGAAATCTCACGCATAATTTTTTGGGTTGGCATTTTGTGCTCCTCAGCGTACGAGCAGAAGCTGGCGAAATTCATATTTCTCATTAGTTCCTTGAGCGGCAACTGCGCATCTTATGTGGTGGAGGACGTGCGGCGTCTCTTGTATCTCCGAGACGGGAAAATATCACGTAGCGCTGAGTTGGCTTCCCGGAAAGAAGCATGCAGGTCTTTGGCCAGATTGGCATGTCTCAGGAAAAGTCTTGAGGAAGTGCAAGAGGATGGCGGGCGCTTCGCTTGTCACTCCTCTGCTGATGCCTTAGTAGAGCTGGAGGCCAGTCTCGCTGGTGCACTCGCGTATCGTTCCTCTGACGGCAAACACCCTGCAGTGTACATTCAGATTGCTAGCCTTTTCCCCACTAGCCTTTACCTTCAGGTGACCCCAGCAGCTCTCCAGCGAGTTCTCCTTAGCGTTTTTGACCGAGTTTGGCAGAAGCTGGGAGCTGCGTCACGCCTTCACGGGGAAAAGATATCTCACGGTATGCGGCAAGCAACTCGGTTGACGCTGTTGGGAGTCTGTGGGGTGGACCCTTTGAGCTCCACAGCAAACGCCCACGTGTTAAACTTACTGTCGGCACCTTGTAGACGCCCTAAAGGGGTGGGCAGAGCTCAAATATTGGACATTTCAGAGTGGAGTGGCTCGTTGTGTCTTGCAGTGGCAGCTGTTTTAGATTTCAGCGACTTGTCACAGCTGGATCTCGCTGCATATTCGACTCACCGTCTTCTTGGCGATATTGGCGAGGTCTTGGGGGCATACTGCCCTTGGCTTGTCTACAAAGTTGTGGTCTTCAGACTTCAGTTTGCGAAAGATTTGCTTTGGGAGGTCCTTAGGTATTGGACTTTTACTCTTGTAGTAATTGATTTCCACATAACGTGTACAACTGTTGTCATCCGTCGTTGCGTTCTTGAAACGCTCGATGTGGACTAGTAAATATGCTGGGGGAGCTCAGATTGACAGGCATTATATTTTCTGGTTCAAAAGTGATTGCCTCCGATGTAAATGGCGAATCTTGGTTCTATTGTTTCACTGTTTCTGCTTTTTCCCTTTGGCAACAGACCGGCACTTCAGACAGACTGTCGCGTTGTTACGGCAGAAGATGATGAAGCGCTGCTTCGAGAAATACAAGCAGACGGGTAAGCGGCAGTTCCTTGGACGTTTTTGCTTTCGTTTTTCAGCAGTGGGTGACCAAATTGCACTTTACTCCCGGCTCTGTGTTTTCCCACCAGACGCTTCATCATGCACACTCTCGGCGGTTTTAACGAGTGCAGCGTCCTCCGATGTAGGAGGCCTGTCTACCGTATACCGCACCCGCCTCAGCCATTCGGGTCTAGTGAGTGGCTCAACGGAGGAGAAGCAACTGATTTCTGGGACGAAATGAGAAAACTTTATTTAGAAGCACCAGGAGCTATTCCCGAACCAGATCCTGTAGACGAAACTGACACTGGAGACCTTGAGCAGCAGAAACTGCTAAGGCAACACCAACACGAAGAAAGGTGATTTGTGAACGAAGGGATCTACGCAGCAATATTATACACTGTCCACATCATTGCTGATGAGCTTTTCGTCTGTCTGTGCCTTACACTACAGAGAAAAAGCATTACAGCGCAAGGAGGAAGAAATTGAGCAGCTTTTAAGCCGAAAGGAATGTCTTGTTCCTCATTTTAACAGAGCACTAATGCAGGTGTTAACTGGGGACGAAGATAGTGTAAGGCTCCCTTCATCTCACAACAGGCGAATCTTCACGTTCTTTTTATTTCCCTCTCGAGCAGGAGCACAAGCGCCCAGTTTGACTGAACCAATCTACTGTAGCTCCCCGTGTGTGGTTGAGATATGGACTCAGGGAGAGATACAAACGGCGTCACAGGGTCAAAAAGAAGTTCATACTCGTCCTCGTCTTTCAATGGACGCTGTTACAAAGTCAGATGTGCAAGTATGCATGTGGAAACCTCCGGCCGATGCATTTGAGGCAGCTCAAGGAACAGCCCAGATGCTCATGAAGATCTTCGAAAAACGCCATATGTGGACTCGTACTCCACTCCCTCCTAATTATATGCATGCGTTTGAAAGGACAACGTACTCCCTCGATTGCGTTTACGTGAGCAAGAGGAGACTCGCAGATTCGATGACTTGCTCATACCTAGTTGGACAGAGCAATGGGTTTCTCCATGCATATTTAGGAATGTGCATGTCTTTATCAAACGCATCAAAGGCCTGCATTTGATATTTTGTTTTCTATGCAGCATTCGAGATCATCAACTCCAGTAGTGACTTCAGCGAAGCATGTGCAGGCACCGCCTGCAGTCCGGCCCATTTCAGTTGAAGAGGACACTTCAGCACCTTCAAACGCGAAGCCTGCGAAGGACCTTCTCAAGTTTCTATGACCACACTCGCGGAATACCCTTTTCGGTGTGGTTGCGCTTTTGGAAAGCAAGCGTTGAGTTAAGACTGCTAAACAACGCCGATAAAGAGCGCTTCAGAAGTCTGACGACCGCCGCACATTTTTTTGTTCTGCCCATGCCGTTTGAAATTTTTATTAGACATTCCAAATGAGCAGCCGCTCTGCTGAGCTCGAAACTATGATACCTTCACTCCCCATCTTAAGTTGATTATCAAGCACTTCCTTGGATATTTCAGGCTTTTGTCCTTCAAGGGAGCTTCATTGTTAACGTTTCAAGAATATTCATGTTGCAAAATGAGTGGTGAGGCGCTGAGAACGGACAGCGTGTATCATCTTGCCTATGAAACACGGTCTTGAACGTTTCCCCTCACGCAGACAGCAAACGGATCCTTTGGGAGCGGCAACGGATGGATTTGGAACGCATTACGTACCATTCTAAAGTGCCGCCAGTACTACGGGGTGCCGATATTTCTTGAGTGCTGTCCTTCACATTGAAGCACTTGCTTCTCATGCCAATTTGCTACAGGCAGCAAAGGCGATCCACAAGCTTTTCACCGTGTGGGGAACTGCCTCACGCACATGTTCACATTGGCGGCCTTGGATATAATACCACCAACGTCTAGGGCAACATCCTCAGGGTTTCAAACATAGTAACATGAAGGATTCGGCCGACGAGGAAAAGGACCCCATCATAATTAGACTGAAAAGTTCATGTTGCTGATGCTGCCTATAGCTGGGAACTAATTATTCAAAAAGCTACACTGCGAGACTGGGGACGAATTCATACGCTGATAAGTAGAAGCAGCGCAGCGCACTCGCCGACGTAAGGCGTGCCGAGTCGAGAGCATAGAAGCTACGGCACTATACAAGCATCATGGGCACCATTGATGAGCTGTGTTTAACAACCGCTGAGATAGGCTTTCCGGTGCGTGGTCTCATGCATGCTGCGCTGCACGCTGGCTGTTATGCTTCCAGTGCGCCGAACAGCGCTGTTCCCATAAGTTACTTTTATGCGCTGGAGCGTTCTACCTTCAAGCAGTGTATCCCATTGGTTCGTACGCTTTTGTCTTCTGGGCTGGTGCAATGATGGGCTCGTCCTTAGGTAGCCAAGCAAGGCCAGCGACGCAGCTTAAATTATATCCGGACCGTAGTGGCAACACGAATCAGAATTTAAGCCTCCATTTCTGGGTTACTAGAAGAGCATCCCTCTGGTTCTCTGGTTCAGTATTGTTCGTCAGTCTTAGAGAAGCTTCACACCTTCTGTAACAAACACCCAAGCATGTGCGCTGGCGTCCCAAGGACTCCACAAGCGGTGGAGCGCCGCCTAAGCGTTGGAATCCAGTAATAAATATCCGAGATATCTGGAGCCTTCGTTGCGGAGTAACTCCTGCACGCAAGGAAAATATAAGTTGGGATGCTTTTGATTGGGTGAGCACGAGCTGCTCATCACAACACTGCTCAGGCGCGGGATGAAGTTGCTACTTTTACTAATGCAGTGCCAATATGTACTCAGTAACAATATATGGCACGCTTTACACAAATTACCAATTAGACAATGAGCTATACGAAAACGCTTTGACCGTAAACCAATTGCGCGTAGGGCTGCGCCTCTTTTGGTGGTGTTCCTGCAGTCGCCTGTGTCAAGCTGCGGCAGGTGACCCCTGCATCTCATTCTCGCGTATGAAGACAGATTGATGCTGTCCTCTGTAGCGGACGTGTTTGTACTTGTCAATGATGAGATATTGGGAAAGTACTATTGCTTCTTTTGCCGCGTCTGCTTGGAACGTCCACCTACGACGTCTGTCCCGAAGAACTGGCGCGGTTTCCTTGGATACTTGCGGTCATTGCCAAAGCTGTTTGGTATATATCCTTTTGAATCTGATTTGTCCAAGTAATCATCTAAACGTCTCCAGTCCTGCTTAGTCTGGAAGCCAATCGAGGGATTGTGCTCGAAGAACTGGAGGGCGCTGGAGTGTGTCAATTCTCGGAGGACCACTCCCGACTTGCTTCGTTCTGTTTATTTATTCCATTGGCTTCTTCGATACAGAGCTGATTGACAGTAGAGACAGCTGTAATTGGCAGCGGCAGCCGCCATGACGGGAGCTGCGGACAGTTCGCCTCAGTCAGTAAACACTGGCGCAAAGAACTCGCGCACTCCCTCTGTATGCAATATTAGCACCTCCGGTAGTATCGTGTGTAATGAGGCAGAAGAAGGCGAAGCAGCAGGGAGCGGAGATGCAGAGTACTGCGCTGCAAACAGTCAAGGGGATTCGATATGCTCGGAGGGAGCTCAAAATCCTACAGTGAATAGCACGGCAACAGAAAGGACTGCCGTGGAAAAGATTCATCTTCTACCTATTTCTGAGGAGGCTCCGAAGTCATGGGTTTTCGCCACCCTCACAGGCCTCATGAAGGAGTGCAAGACAGTGCAGCAATACATGTACATCAGGGTGAAACGGCCAACCAAGGAGAACAAGTCACCCCAAAAGGGAAGAAGCCGCGACGAAAGCGATAAAGCCCTTAGCTTGGAAGCGACCGATGCAGAGTATAATTACATCGTAGTTGCCTGCCTACCGCACTCCGGTGTAATAACATCATCAACTGTCGTTTTCACTACAGGAGCCCCTTTGAAGCCACTTCGTCGCATACAGCTTTTGGCTCTTGTGCACCCAAACAGCTCCTATGCCCGGAAGGCAGGAGTGGCTTCGTACTCAGAGGCACTGCAGCGTGGGTTGGTGGGAGAGGGAAGTGCTGCAAGCCAAAGCCGCAGGAGCAGGCGGGCTGACAGCACTTCCAGTTCCGCTGCCAGCCCTCTCCAGAGGCCAGAAAATAACAGCAACAGCATCGAAAACGGAGTCACGACGGGAGAGGCAGGTTATGGTGCTGCAGATGCGGAAATGCATCACCGTCAATTGGGTTCCCCCTTCGACTGGGAGGGTACCCACGCCGCTGGCCAGCGACACCGCAGGCGGCCGGCGCCAGTGCGGGAATTTTCACGAGCAGAAGACGTTATAGCTGCAGTACTTGAAGACTCTGATGCTGGGTCAGGGGGAGAGAACGGAGGAGATGAGGACAGCATGGGGGGTACACCATTTCGTCTCAGCGACGCTACTGGGCCCGAAGCTAGTGGAGCTAGGTCCGATTCTAACGAAGCAGAGCCACCGATGCAGCATCAAAGGACTCTCCAGCTAAACTTCAATTTCTCTTCATCTTCTTCAACTGACTTTGGGGCATCACGGAGTGGGACTGATGGCTCACCAGGAGATGCCCCGCGCAGTTTAAGCGAAAGAGTGCTCTTCTATGACTTTGTTGCTCCATACTTTCGTGCCCGCGGTGCGGGAGCTTCCCTCCCTTCCTCTCCTGCGAACGCAGGGACTGACGGGACCTCAAGGGACACAGCTATCGTCGTTTTCCCGGGAAAGAAGCTAGTCATCAGAGACTTGACCTTCGTCGTCTGGGCTACGGACCCTGACAACGGTCCTGGGTTCGTTCGGAAGGATACGGTAAGGCCATCTTACTCATTGCTGCCACTTCACGTGGCGCCCCACCGAGTCATTAACTTCTTCTTGAGTTAATAGCGCAGGTCAGTCTACTCGCTGAGCCAGCAGTTTCGTTAGCTGCTGCTTTGCGCGTTACATGTAGGCCATGTACATATCGGTGGATCCGTGGGGTGAGTACAGAAGGGTGCACATTTTGCCTTTTGCCGATACATTGCCAACGACATATTCTTTTCGCCTCTTCGAAGACTATTTGCAGCCGTTTCTCAAGGAGCAGCCTTGGCGGCTCATTCGGAAGGGCGACATCTTTACCTTCAGGTCAGTGTCAAGCGGCAAACCGCACGGCACGTCTCAGTACATTTTACTTTCTCACATGTTTCAGCTCATTTTCTGCGGTGGAACGCCTGGGTTGTGTATGTATCTCAGGGGCGTTGAGTTCAAGGTCATAGCGACGGAGCCTTCCACCATACCCGTTGCCCGTGTTGGCCCAGAAACAGTAGTCCATTTTGAGGGTGCGGAGATAGAAATGAATTTTTAAAGCTGAACTCCCCTTGTTGTATTCTGCGGAATTGGGAAAATCTGTCTTTGGCTAATTTCATTATGCACATGCGCTGGCGTACGGGTGCACTTCAGGGTCCCTAAACCCTTCACTTATTGACATCTTACCCCCCGATATCCTTTCTCGCGTCAGAAGGTTGCCGGCGCGTGTGCAACCCTTCGCCATAGTTGCTGCGGCACAAGTAGGTTGAGAACAGACGGCCAAGCAGGAGAGCTGGATCTGCACCTCCAAACAGCTAATGGCGGCACTGCAGAGGTTTCTTCGCTCCCGTTTACGAGCGCAAAGCTACTAGATGGGGAAGAGGCACTAAGTTATTTTGTAGAGGGCGAGCTCCAGATTTCCCGTATTCTGTGGCTCAATTTATTGTAGTCATTAGTGAACTTCTGTGTGTTTTCTGCTGTACTCAGTCGCTGGACCCACAGCTACTTCTGAGAGTTTTGCCCTCGGGGAACATGAGGGGAAATCCGCGTGGAATCGATGAAGGGTTGGAGGCAGCAGTAGAGAGGCAGCTAGTGGGTCCATTTTGTCTTTCAGCGTACCAGCGCCTCTATGCACATTTATGCACGCGAAAGAAACGACACCCATCACGCGAGAAAAGGGAGGAAGCTGAAGCCAGTGGCGAGGCTGACACTCCCAGGTGCAGTCAAGAAATCCCGTCAAGTCGCTCTTCAACAGCGGAGGCGGAGGCTGCTGTTGCAGAAGCTGCCGCTGGCGGATGGGAGCTCGAGGCTCCGTGCTGCACGGTGTGCACCCTGCAGCTGCAAGACGGAGCCGAGTCAGTGACCCTGACATGTGGACACGCCTTTCATTGGGACTGCGCAAGGGCTTGGCTCCGGTGCAGCGCTACGTGTCCGAATTGCAGGGCAGAAGTAGTTTTACCCTCCGAAGACCATGGCGAATGTAGGGGCTCAAATACCAATGTTGGTACTGCAGCGTTGGGATTTGTGAGAAGTGCCTGGGCAGATTTCTTCAACAGCTGAGATTCCTGCAAGCGCATTCGTGCTCTTCAGTTTTTTGTGCATGTGCTCGCATTGTCCATTGTCAATGCGGGAAGACGACGGTGTCACCAGGCAACGCCGGACCCCCGGCAAAGTGGAAACCACAGTTGCAAAAAGACTTACATCACTTGACGGTATTAGCGGCTTTTTTGTCTTAGTTGCAAGCCGCATGCTCTACGATCCAGGGTGGCGCTGCACCTGCAGAAGTGTGATCTTGCCTTCAGCAGACTTCCCGTAAGTGGAACCTGGATTGCTGCTCAGATTTCTTCTCGTTCAAAGCTGTGTCATTTGCTTCGCACGGAGAAATTTTTATTCATGTGGATGAACAGAAAAGTGCACATAAATTGAACAGTTGCGGGGTTTTACCGTGCCACGCGGACACTCCCTGTGTCTGACTTGGACACGCAGTTTTGTTCATGTTGCTGGCTATGCGACGTACTAAGAAACGAAAATACGCGAACTTGTATAAAAACCTCCTAGATCGCACGACACACGAGCATCCTTTGCAACAATAAAAATATAGTTGTAGTTTACTGGAACACTGTCTTCTAAATCGAAGTGCTGGGCTACGATATTGGCCTTAAGCAAACAGAAGTTCGTCTGGCACTGTGCAGAAGTGCCGTGGCCGCTTCAGTTGATAAGCAAACTGCAGACTGTGCTTCGGTGCCCAGGGCGCTCCACTGTGGACCAGTAACGAGCGAGCGAACACTGTTAGCCCTTTGGCATGCATGGTTGGAAGCCTGGCTTCGCAGTCGCTCTTGGCTCACTGTCGGTGCTTCGACGTAGCTTCTCTAACGTACAGCGGGAGGGAGTTGAGGCCAGTCCTTCGGCGCCAGAAGTGTAGCTTCCCTCACTGTCACTCATTGGCAAAAAGAATCAGCCAACTGCAAGGCTTCTGCGGACAGTTTGGTGCTCTTTCCAGCATCACTTTTGACGGTGGGAACTTCCGCACAAGCAGTAGCCCGTGGTGGCAGTGGCTTGTATCCAAATTTGTATCCGCAGCATCTCAGAGCGGGTGATGCAGCGCCGAAGCCCCCACCTACCGCGGAAGCTTCTCAGCCATGTATTTGTCATGCTTCCGTTTGCTCTTGACCATCCAACAACAAAGTAGCATGACCACAAAGAAGATAAGGATACAGACCATCAGTAAAACGAGGAGAGGCCCGTGAAATGTTGCGGGAGAGTCGAAGTCGAGCCCCACAGTTGTGCCCACGACCTGGCGAGGCATATACACTGGCATGCCTGTGTGAGCTAATGCCGGATTTTGCATCATGCCGCCTATTTGGCCCCAATTAAGAAAGGAATAGGGTGCCCTGTCTACAGTCATTGGGCCTCCCAGTCCGTCCATATCTGCAACTTGTGTGGACACGCCAGGATTCATCTCAGCGACGTCTTGTGGCTCCCCTGCAAGAAGAGACCCAAAGTCCATCATGCTGTTCATCGGCCCTTCTGGCGGAACTCCATAGGCTGCTTCCCCTCTAGCTGCTTGGAGCAGCATCGAGGCTCGTCCTGTAGGCTTCCGATGTAGATAAGGCTCTGCTATCGCTTCAAGGGCTTCTTGCCTTTCCAGTTGTGCTAATTGGTGCTGCATAAGCCTAGACACCTCCTCATGCATTTCCCCGTCAAAACCTCCCATGCGAAAAGGAGCGTCACCAGATCCTCGCACCTCGAGTTGACTAGTCGCAGGGTGTCGCACGCAGGAGACTACCTGGAAAAGGCACAGTATTGTTAGAGCCCCTAAAACTAGGCACTTCAATGCTCCAACTTTTAAAGATATGGTGAGGCGCCGGAATTCCCTCGACGGTGAATGAAGTGCTGCTGCCATTTCTTGCTGTGACGCAGCAGCATACTGGGAGAGGTGAGTCTCATGGCAAACGCCCCAAGAGCGTCGGTTCTGGCACCCACAAAGTAGAGCGATGCTTTTCGTGGAGCTGTTGGAGGGATAATGTGATGGGCTATTGTTCGGCCGATGCCAGGTGCGTCGACGTGAGGCACTGGCTGATCCGTCTTGTGAAAGAGGCTGGATCAATAAGCCATCTAGTGGAGAGACGTAATTAGCCATAGTTTCAAAGAAATTTTTTTCAGTGGTTGTCCAAGTAGCGTCTTTGCCACCACTTCCCACCGTCAGTCCCTTCGCCGGTAGTAGACCTGCAGCGCAGTCACCCTCCAAGCAGCCGAAGTTCCAGTCCGCTGATGTTATCTTAAAAGCTTGCAATCGATCTTTGCACAGCCTAAAACTTCACATCAGGAGATCTTTCAACGAAAGAAGTAGCGTCTACTGACGGGCACGACCGTTTCGCTCACCACCAAGTCGGCGGCAGTCCCTCAATTGCACAGACGATTGCTGTAGATTGTCTGAGCCGGGAGGGTAAGCAGATGTCCACATCAAGTCCTATGACTCATGAGCATTAAATTCAAGTATATTACTACATTGGAAGTGCTATGGAAGGCCTTGGGGCTTACAGCCCCTTGATCGCCAGCAGCAAGTACGGCGACTAATGAAGAGCAGCCAGCTGCTACAAATCACCTTTGCCTTGCATTACTTCTCTAACTACGCGATTTGCGCAAGTTCTGACAGGTATTTTCTTTGTTTCAATACGTATGAGCAAGACGGCTTGACTCAGGCCGACTTCTGCACGTTTTGCCTGTTCACCAAGCCACTGGTCCACGTCCATTGTGTTACACTGAGATGCTTGCACGCCCATTAAATATCGGTAGACTGGGAGTACCTTATCGAAATTTTTTCTCACAAGCTCGTAGGCACAATTTTTAACGTCTTTTCTCCTCATTTTTCGCCAGCGAAGGCGAGCGTCCGTGTCAACAGGCTATGGTAAGGTGTGTGAACTTCCCAATTTTCTCCTCTAGAGGGGTTCCGTAGAGCAATAAAGTCTCTTTAGAGGAAACTGGGGAGCCACTGTATCCCTCATCACCAGCGCCTCCGCAGTTCGCGAGTGAATACGCGATCTGTCTCTGGAGATGTATGCAGGGCATCTACATAGAACTTCACACCTAGTTCACCAGTCCAAGTAAAAAAATGAGCTAAGGAGCAAAGTCATGCTCCTGGTGTGGTCTTATTGATCAGGTGGATAGGCAAAGCTCACACAATGGCCCAGAGACGTACTCTTGCACCGAAATGCATTGCTGCTTACGGATCCACTGCTTTTAAGAAGGCGATCTGCTGCTTTTGTTGCTGCAAAATATTCTGTAGATCTGACGCCTCTAGATGCAGCCTGTGAAGGAAGATCTCACACCAGCTCAATTCGCGGCATGTGTTCGTGAGACCCATGCTGCTTGAAGTCGTATAACAAACTCTGCCCCAACCCGCCAAAATTTATCATGGTACGCAAGCTATACAATGCTGTTGCCCCTCAGAAATCTGACTGGCTTGCCTGCGGAGGCTTTCTTCGAGCTCGCGACACCTCATCGTTGTCAATATGAGCTTCCTCTCAGCCTCCCTCGGCTTGAGTCGCTCCACGATGAGGTCTGCTAGGGCCTGAGCATTAAACAGCCCTAAAGGCGAAAATAAAGGTCGCGGTTCAGTTAGCAGTTCTGTGAAGGTAAAATTTGTGACATTTGGATGTTCCTGTGTTGGCGCGTTCCCCAATGGGGGAGGGAAACGTTTTTCTAAACTTCAAGACCTAGTTTGGTGCCTACACTCAGTTGCTGCCGAGGGAACTTCGACTCCCCTCATCTTTAATTTGCTTTGGGATGACGGTTATGAGCACACATAGTAAATACGGGGAAAGAAAACTAAGTCTGAGAGAGACTTTAAGGGTGCAGCAGGGAGACATGCGGACTCACATTGAGCTGTTGCTTTTCAAAGTCTTCCGTATTCGATTCGATGTCCTGAAGGAATCCATGAGCTTTCTGTTGTAACGTTTCGCAGCCTAATGCAGTCTTCACAGGCAGCTATCAGCCGCGACAGTGGGTGAGTCGTTCCTGTTTCACTACACTGGATAAGTAGAGTAGGGGTAGGTTATGTCGGGATCAGTCAACAGAATGCGTACAGAAAGAATGCAGGCACTGCCCAGATAAAGGTGCTTCAAGTTCCCCTTACCAATCAGCAGTTCACGTATGCTGTTGCGGAGGCTGTTGATTGCCGACTCATGCTCAGCGCGTAGGAAGTCGAAAGTTGGTGCAGCTGCTGAACCGCTTTGCTCCATTGGCTCCGTTATGTTTATTCTTGACAGGAAAAAAGAACTAGGCAATTTTCACCTGCAAATCGGAACTGCCTGAAGCTAAACGCGTATCGGCGAGTCCTCAGTACCATCTCGAGTCGAGTAGCCGCGGTGGATCCTTATGGGCGCACTCTTTCACTGCCTAGCATTCACTTTATTTATTATGAATTCCAGTTTCTCCCTCTACATGGTGAGCTATCTGAACTCAATTTATTTCCGAAAACTATTCAGTTGATTCGGCACTTTGCTTGTAGCTCGCCCGCCGACTCATCGCATGCAGGCCCACCTGGACGGTGTTTCCTTTTTATACCTCATCGAGGACGTCCTTCCACGTATAGGGCCTGATATTCGAATATTCTTTAGTTTAAATCAGTTGAGTTTATTACGCTCAATCCAAATGCATGAACGATCTGTGGAAGCTGAGGATCTCAGCGATTGTCTCGGGCTGGTCCCGTCACGGACCATTCATTCAGTTCGCATGGACTCGTCAGCGCGGCCTGACAAGTTCTGCGTAGCAAGCCAAGAGGGCGACAAGATCCTCGCTTAGTTTCTTTTATTATTTTTTAAATTTGTGTCTAGGCTGGACTTTCGTTCTCTATAGTTTTTCTGCTAGCTGTCGCGGCTCTGGGGTCACGCCGTCACTCGTCTTTGGGCACACCTTTCACCGTTATGCCAAGACAGAGAGGCAAGAGGCTCTCATAGGAAGCTCTACAGAGAGAGATGCTCGAAGGTTTATGCAGAAGATTGTTTTACTGAATTTCATGCTCACTGCCTCCTTTTTAGAAGCTGTGTGTTAGGGATCCGTGCAGAGCCCGCTGCGCCCCGCGGAGACAAATGAGAACCATATAAGTTGTGAGGAAATGCTGCTCGTTGGAATTGGCGCATCGGCTGCCGCGGGGGCTGCTCTTGTGCTGCCGCTGCTGCTCTATTACCACTTTGTGGACCGTAAGAAGAGCACCCTTGTGACGGGTCTTACCTTCTGCTGCACCCTGACTTCCGCTCTTCTTTTGGCCCTTCTAGTACCTATAGACATAATGCAAGCATCTACAGCAAATTCGGATTCTATGCAAGTCCCAGAAGAACCGAGGGCAGTGCAGGCCCCATCTGTTGCGGAGGCAGCGGCCGCTGCTCATGCTGCCAACGCCTCTTCCGCGTTTACCCCTGCGGGTGCGGCAGCAGCAGCAGCAGCTGCTGCTGGCTGGGCGGCTCTGAGAAGTGCTACTCTGCCGCTCACAGCAGACCTTCTTCAGCGCATCTATCTATTCCTTGGGGTTGCGGTTTTTGTCTGCTGCTTCCTCCTAACCCCCGCGGCCGTCTTCTACGCCAATGAGCGCAACAGAAGATGCGTGAGTGAAATCACATCCATTTGACGCTGTCTTAGTACTTCAATGACTACAAATGATAATTTAGAGTGTAAATCGCAGCGTGCAGGGTGGACTGCATGCGAACATGAATGACTCACTGATATATAAGCACAACGAACTTGCGAACAAGATATGCAGTATGCGTATACACATGGCGATGCCGCCTATCTTCGTGCGGTTTTTGCAGGCGCAGGATGTGGACGAGGATGACTCGCTTCCGTGCGAGGCACTTTTCGTAGCCCTTCGGAAAACCGGCTTCTTCGTCCTGGCTCTATGTGCTGTGCTGCTGCTGCTTCTAGCGCTGAGACCAGGGATGCCTTCCCCTGCCTTTCTAAGGCCGGAAAAAACAGCTCTTCCGCCGGTAGCGCCAGAGCAGCAACAGCTCAGGCCACCAAACCCTGAAGGGACAAGCCCCGCAGGTTTGATGGCTGCAGCTGCAGCAGCTGCCTCTGCGGCAGCCGCCACGGCTAGTGCGGCAGCAGCACGTGCAGCAGCAGCAGCAATGCGTGTTGATTCGGAAGCAGTGCAGTTGTACACAGCTCAGCTCCTCGGTGTCCACAAGACAGGAGTGGACTCCTTGTTGTTTCTGGGGGCATGCTTCCTCTGCGCCGGCAAGCCAGCACTAACAGCATTTTCGATTATTTGCCCCACATTCCAGTTCAGTGGTGCAGCAAGGAGGGATCAGTGGTAGAATGGAAGCGTCAGTTCGGCGCAGTGTCTGCGCAGTGTCCAGTGTCTGCTTCGCATTGTGTTGCTTCTCCGTATCGTTGTTTATTGTTCGTTCGTGTTCTCCACTTTATGCTTTCTGGTTTAGCTCAAGTCGTGTGGATTGTCTTCGGCGCTTTTGGCTTGGCGACTCTCCCTTTCGCATGGCTCTACCGCGGCCTGTCAACCCAACAGAAACAGCGGCAGGTGCAGCATGAGATTGCAACATTACGAGAGCAACAGCGTCAGCTCCAGGTAAACACACCCCAGTACACACAGAAACACGCATACACACACATGCACAGAGAAAGAGGGAGGAATGGAAAGAGACAGCTGCAAACACTGAACGTGTACACGCGTACAGTCTATAAAAATATGTACTGTCTGTTGATGCAATAGAAAAATACATTGCATTCACTGAAATACTGCATACAGAGGCGTTGTACAAGACAGACAGGGAAGGCCAGGATGACGTGCCTACAGGCCACAAAACTTGGCAGCGAACTTGCATACAGTTGCAACTGAGAACACCTTTCTGATCTAACAAGTAGACCTGTCTAAATTATTGGGTGTCAATCCTCATCTCTGCAGAGAAAGTACGCTGGGGGACTCCATGAGATGAGGCCCGAAGACTCTGAAGCCCTGGAGAAGCTCAGGGTACAGCAGCGGTTGTGCAGCGAAAGGAACTACAAGCTACAAGTGAGCCTGGCGTCAAAGTTGGGGCCTTAAGTAATATGCGACGATCTCAAGCAGTAGCAAAGGCGGAAGGCTTCTGACTTCATCAGTGTGTTACCAAATACTGCCGAATTGCTTGCTTGAACTGCACAGGAAGCCGAGCAAGCTCACCGTTCTGCGTATTCGGTGCTCTGTCGATTGATGCTTCCATTTCGGAAAACAGTGGGGCTCGTCTTGTTACTCTTATTATTATTCTTGTTTGTGTCTCTCGGGACGGTCCTCATACGGCGCCTGGAAGGATCTTCCTGCGGATGGAGCTGCGGCTTTGCTACCCAAAGCTCGGAGGGCCCCTCGACGCCTGCCGACGCTGCACTGTTATTTCTCTCTTCAGTGCGTACTTCCAGCTTCTTTCTCTTTGCAAACTTTTCCGTACTCTAGCCTGTCAGGAAAGCCCATGTGATCACGCATGCAATTAGTATGTGCTCTCTAGTGATCTGGCTTGCGCTGATCTGCTGCAGTACCCTCCCACCGATCTGTGGTTGGTTTGCTGTTGGCTGCTGCTTCTGCTCCTGGGCGGACTATATGGACTTCTCGAGCTGTTACCACGCTGCAAGTTGAGGCGCACGGGCATGCGAGAATTACAGCAACACATGAGTGTAAAGGGCGGACGCAGCTCTCCACAAGTGAGCCTTCCATCGGCAGCTTCAGTTGCATCTCTATTGAACACGAAATATTTTTAAGTCCCCTAGTGCAAGGTCTTTGTAAATGCTTTATTTGGGTCTTAATCAGGGCCGAATACGTACTACAATTTTAGCGAAGTCTCCGCTTCTGTGCCTTTCATGCAGATGCTCCTCCTACTATCTGCACTGCTTGCTCATCTGATTCTGGCAGCGGGACTCTGCCTATTTACAGTAGGTTATTCCAACTATCTACGGGCTGGCTTCTGCCCAGAGGGGCACATTATCCTCCTGCCATGTTTCTTTGCACGGAAGCTTGCTATCAGGGATGCATTTCAGTTCTGTTAAAGCTGAAGTTCGGTGAGCCTGATCCTTGCGTAATTTATTGCTTACCTGTCAGCTTTATTTGTGACAGGCGGCTCCTCAGTACGCTTCGTTCGGGAACCAGACGTTCGTGCCCCAGGTACGTTATAGGTTCGCCTGCATGATACCAGGCACTGTACCTGACGAGTTAGTTGGTTTCACTGGGGACTTCTCATCCGAGAATGAAAGAGCTAGGCTTGGGCGCATTGTCCACGGACTTCTTATTGGCTATCTGTGATTTATGTTTTACTGTGTACGTGGTTTGATGCAGAACGGATCGGATGCCATCACGTGCACATTACACGCTGCAGCTGCAGGCACTTCGTGTCATCTCACAATATTCGCTGCTGCTCTTTCCCAAGTGGCTTTTGGTAAGCAGACAAGACGTTGGCTCTTCTACTGCTCCACTTTCCAGATGGAGCTATTTCATTGCCTGACTGGCTTCCTTTCATACTTACCCTTCACATATTCCCAAGGATCTGTGTGTTCTTGCCCTGTTGCAGCCACTCCGATGCTCGCATCAGTATTGTACTGCAGTAACTGGCTGTTCCTCAGTAGGTGTTTGGTGTTTCGCATTTCGCGCTTCTGTGTAGCCGCGTGAAATGCTCCTCCGTCTTTTGACACTTCCCTTGCTTTGCTGGTTGCTGGAATTTGCATCGAGCGAGCGTATTGGCTCGTGGCAAGCCCAACTTGACTGTGTTTGCCTAGCGTTGCTTTTGTGATGGCGTGGCTGCAGTTTGCATCATTCTGTGCTTGGCATATGCGGCAATTTGCAAACGCGCCGCACCGCATCTTGGGGACCCCTGGGACTCTCAGCAACTGCGAAAGGCAGCGGAAGACCTCGAAGACATGGCAATTCTTGATGAATCCGCCAGCCTTATTGGCACGTAGTACAGTTACTTTGCCATGGGAACAATGCATCAGGCTCTATAGCCTCAATGTGGCTTCAGAAACGATCGAACCCCCTACCATGAGGCTGTTTTGCTTAGAAGGAAGCCCTCCTTATCAAACTTGTGCTGCTGTAAAGGAGCTTCACATGAAGCGTAACTCGCTCACATCGTTCTGGTTCACGTTGTTTCAGCTGTACATGAAGCATTTCATGTGTAGCCAATAATACTTCAGTGTAGTAGAGACAAGATGAAAGCTATCAAAGGAGAGCTGGACTCATGAATGGAGCCTCATCAGCAAAGAACGCAATAGGCCACCATTGGGGGACCAGAAATATGCTTGCGCAACAACGAATACGAAAGGAGTGCGTTGCTGGCAACACGGTCAAGCAGGCAGGACAGCTAGGGACAATTGGTTTCAGAAACAAACTTGTCAGCACTCGGTCATGCTCGCTCCACAGTACCAGAAAGCAGCCTCACTGTACTAGCCCAGCGTGCGAATCTTAATGCGGAGCCGAAGAGGCGCATGTCTACTGCCCATCCCAGCAAGCTTTGCTAAATGGCGGGGACAGGGTTGGGCGGGGACTGCGTTGGGCGGGGACGGCACGTAGCAGTGTGTTTTAGCGTTAAATGTCAATAATGGAAAGCCACTTTACTAAATCTCTTTGGATCTTCCCCCCTGGCTCAATTCCTCCCGCATGATAGCTCAACTCTACTGGAGAACTGTTGTGACTCAACTGTTCTGACTCTGGTCCACAGCTATACCCTTGTCCTTCCAGTGAAAGCTGACGCGAAGTTAGAGACTAAATATCGATTTGACGAAAGTGAGACACTTTGTGTAAAACCATGATTAAATGAAGAAGAAACGTGCTTACTGCATATCGTTCATCCGAATCGCGACCCCACAAAAGCAACGCGAGCGGGAGCAGTAGACCGCCACTTATCCAAGTACAAAAAAGCGTAAACGCTTGCACATTTGTGTATTAGTGATTCGCTTAACTCAAAACCGAATGTCAGAAAGAGCCATTGTTGAGCTTCTCTCTTGCAAGTCCCAGACTGCTCTGGAGAGCTATCTTCGATTGCCTCTGCGGGTCATCTCAAGAGTTGCATGCTGCTTCTCTTCGCATTTCGCATACTTGGTGCATGACAGTTAGTTGATTATATTTAGGGTTATTTTGGGGACCATCATAGATGTCATACCTCCAGCGGTGCCCCAATCTCTCGCAGCGTCAACTGATTGGCTTACTCGATGTCACAGCGAGCGTGGGGCCAGAAGACGTGTCGAAACTTTTTGCTTCTCGTGGCTTCCCCTCTCAGCATTGTAGGAGGGACTCCCAATGTCAATTTAGCTTTCAGATGCTGCCCTAGTTCGGGGAATCCGCTGCGTCGCTGCGTCCGCAGCTCACCCTAAATTTTGGCTCCCTGCCCAGGTCATATCTGCTGGAGTTGCTTCGGCCCCTTTATTTGTTTACATTTCTTTTTCTAGAGCTGCTGATTCAGTTAAAGGGCTGGCTGGGAACATGCAGAGCTTGCGGACAGGGGCGGCTCTCTGGTCCGTTGGTGCTGCCTTGTTCTATCTTTTTCAGTGTGCAAATTCAGTGTTAGGTTCCTCCGAAAGCAAAGCTGTCGGTTCTGCCTCTGCGTCCAACGGTCCTTCTTTGCGGGAACTGAATCGAGATCCGCTGCAGGTAAGTTTGGCAGGTTGGAAATAAGCCTTAGGCGACTCATCTGTGGAGAAAGAAACCGTGTTGTTGGTAGGTTCACAAGTTTATGGCCTAGCCTTAGCATCGTCGGCTGTGAATGCTCGTAAAGCGCCTGTGATTGGTGCACAGGGGGATTCACTACCAGATTCCATTGGTGGTAGCGGTCTAGAGTTTCTCGCCACCACAGACAGAAGCCAGGAAATCACTCGTCACAGGACGGAAACGTCTGAGGAGCTAAAAAGTGTATCAGAATCACTATTACAGGAAGATGAAATTACCAGTTCAACACCAGAAGCACTCATCTGGTCGTGGAACCCCCTGAAGGCGGGTGATCGTACGGAGGCTGAAGACCTTGAGCACAAGGGGGTGCCTAGTGACTATACAGAGATCCCAATTTTAGACAAAGCTGCAGAGCAGCAGTCCAATCCTTCAACGACTACTCAGGGCAGCGTAGAAGTAAGCAGTGACACCTCACAGGCTCCAGAGGCGGACGAAGATCGGGGTAGTAAGGATGCAGAAAGCAACCGCTTGATCACCCAAGTTTCCCTTTTAGCAGAAGACACCAGTACCAAGTCTAAAGGCGCCGGAGGCTATTCGCTTAAGTTTCAGCAGATCGTCAAAGAAGGCAGGAGGAAGCCGAGGTCACCGGCTGTTTTACGCAGTGACGGACAGGAAGGCGAGGTTCACTCGCCATCGAGCGAGGGTGAGGACGGCAATGATGCCAGCACCAGAACACCCCAGTCACTTGTTTCAGACGATAGTGGCCACGATCGTGAGACTAAGGGGGAGACTGATGATAGTGCGCTAGCTGAAGAAAGGCTTGACATTGACGGTGGTGATGGCATCGAGAGCACAAACCCAGAGTCACCTGCCACAGGTAGGTATACGAGCCGGTTCGGCTCCTGTAGTTAGTTGATTTGGGTTTGCCTCCACTGTTGTTGGTGGCCGTCTGGCAGTGGCCACAAGCTTAGGGTGGGCAAGTTATGACGGATAAACTTCTTGGATCGATAGGAACACGTTTAGAAGGCTTTTTAGTAGAACTCATTATAGTTTTGGGAGAGAGATGGACGAACGAATTCCAGCGTGGACTGTCCAATGCAGGGAATAACAATGAAGGATCAGGAGGAGGCTCGGCACAGCCCGAACCTTCCAGCTCTCCGAAAGTTGGCCAGAAGTCGGAGGCCACCAGCGGCTTTTCAGAGGAGCCGCAAGAAAGTTACCAGGGAAAAGAAGGGCACCGGTCGTTACCCGTTGTTGGTTCTGGAGAGAGTTCTGGGAATTCACAATCTTATTCTGAGCAGTCAAGCGGAGCAGCTCCAACGAAAACAAGTTGCAAAGTCGCGGTGGGAGGGGTCATTGTTGATGCGTCCTACGTGGATTCCGCGTGCACAGGGCAAATAAATTTGATGTACAAAACGAAACAGAGCAAGTTCTTGGAGCGGCGGATGCTTCTGACTAACACGACTGGGAAGCGATTGACTGTGGTGATGAAAACTGTCAATGCACGACTCACTTCCCCGGCCTCACAAGCTTGGGCCTACTCTCATCTGCAGGTGGGGCCGGCTTCGTTTCTCCAGGGGGTATCAGAGGGGGAGACGAGCGAAACAGCAAAAGAATACGTCCACCAGATACTCAAGCAGATGCGTAGACAACGTCGGAAGCGGCCGGATGACCCACGTGAGTACTAAGGCATCGAGGATAGTGCGTGACTTTTGCAGCAGCACCGAGGAGCTTCCGGAGGGAGAGACCGTCTCGTTTTACATATTTTAGATGGATGCTTAGTTGAGTAGATGTGCTTGTCTAGACGCAGTCAGAGTCGTGCTCCCAAAGTTTTGGGTTTCCTCTTATGTAGAGTGCACTATGGTTGCTGCAGCTACTTAAACTAGATGGAGAGATCCGCCCCCTTCACATGTTTAGGGGGCCGTGCGCAATTCAAGTATTTTCCCGTCTTTCTACTGCTGTTGTTTTTTTTGCTTGGGACTGCAGTTGACTTGGTAGTTAGCTTCGCCAGTCCGTTTGATAATCCAGGAGCAGCTGCTGGAGCGGTGAGCTTCATGCAGACAGAAGCGGGCGCTGCACGCATCACACAGACATGCCAAGAGCTTTTGGCCGTGGTGGAGGACTCTCAGAGCTACAGCTGCGAAATTCTCGATGCTGTGGACATGGTCATCCTGCAGTTCCCACCAAACGCAGGTATCATAGGACGCACATAGCATTAGCTAGTCGTCACAGTGGTGAAAGCAGCTTGGTGGTTCTCCCCCAAGAGAGCAACGAAAGGGGACAAAGCGTTTTGGCTCGACACATCTGTTGGCGGAGTCTCCGTTAAGTCTGTTGTTTGTCCAAGTGCTACCACTTTCATCTTGTATTCAGATATTTCTGCTGATGGAGCGGTGTACAAGCTGCTATCGAAGCTGTTGGTCCTTGAGGGGAAGAGCATTCTTTTTTGGGAGCTTTCCAAGCCTGTGAGACTGTGCATCAGAAAGTGAAGGCTCTGCGCTGCACTCTTAAGGCAACCTCCTGACAGCTGCAGTATTGGGAAGAAAGAGGAGCAGGTGGCATGGCTTGGAAATAGGGGAACCAGCCTATTTGCCAAGAACCCAGAGACGTATAAGTATAGTGGTTTGCGAATTTTTGTTGCGTGTGCCTGCAGACTTCGCTGCAAATGGTACCCGTTAATGAGGCCCTTCCTGAACCTCTGCCACAGCTTTTCGAGAAGCCTGCTTTCGTTCAGGCCAGAGCAGAGCTTAAGGAACGGTGTTCAGCAAAGGTGACTGCACAGACGCACCTCCTGAGTGGTATGCCGCCCTACTTTTTCGCTGACCAAAGAGAGAAAGGAGAGGCCAGCGGAGGAGCTATAAGAGCAGAACCTACAGAAACTAGCTCATCTTTCAGTGCGGGTTCTGTGACAGCGCAGCGATGATGATGTGATGATGCAGCTGGCTGGGATGATGGGATGTTCAGCTGAACGGTCTTCGTTCATGCATCTACGCATGCTCGTCTTAATGAGCATGCGTAGGAGCTGCATCGTTTACGAGTGAGCTCATCGCCTGTATTTTTGCGCATATTGTATTTCCAGATGATTCGCCTGTTTCTTCGCGGATTCCGACCGACCCTGACTTGGAGAAGCGCCTTTGGGGCATGTACGCTGCAAGGTGCGTACACGCATGGATGCACGGAGAAAAGGGCCACAAAGATGTAGTGGTGAGTCATTTTGCTCCTCTCTTTTCGTCATTCTTCGTCACTGAAAGACTTTGGAATCGCATGTGGCTTTGCACCCAGCGTGTACTTCGTGCTCCGTATTCTGCACCTTCACTGCAAAGACATTTTTTGAAGGAGTCAGTGTGGCTTGCTTCGGCTTCGCAGTTATGTGCGCCATGCTGGTATTTTGGTCAGGCTTGATCGCCAGTAACAGAGCTCCAATATGCGTGGCGGTGTCGCTCTATTTATGGGCTTTGCAGGTGGCAGTTGTTGACTCTGGAGTTGCGAAGCATTACGACATTGATTCCAATGTGTGGAAAAACCTGGAGGAATCTGATGATGGCAAAGATGACGACGGTGAGACATAACTGTGCTGTTTATTCATATACGATGTCGTTTCCTGTGCCTGCTGCACCGGAGGCGGGCAAGTATTTTGGCGGCGGACTGTAGAGGGTAAGGTTTTGGGTTGCTGGTTGTGCTGCTGGTTCTTCAGGCAATGGATTAGTTGACGATATTGAGGGGTGGAACTTCGCCGAAAACACCAACGTTATCGCTGACTTGAATGGCCATGGCACACACGTCGCAGGTGAGTGCGCTTGTGCACCAAGAGATCATTGGGTTGATGCCTCTCTCCTTGTCAGTTATAATTCGAGGTGTTGCGCCCTTGAATGACCCGAGCAGCATTGTGATTACTTTTACCGCAGCTACCCTAGTTGCGGCACGCGGTGATTTGGAACTAAGGTTTTTATTGCATGTATGGATTATACAGGCACCATTGGAGGGGTCGCAAATGGAAGGGACGTGGTGGGCTGTGCTCCGCTGGTGTCATTGATGAAGGTTCAGCAGTTCGGGTCAAGTGGAAGGGTAGGCAAGACCTTCAGCACTTGTTATAATTTTCCGATTTGGCGCTTTTGCTTTCCGTTTTATTCCCAGAGGTCGAGACGACGCTGTGTGACTAGGGTTGTGTTCTCATGCAGGGGTCAGTGAGTGATGCCGTGAGAGGAATGGCTTATGCAATGCTGAAAGGCGTGCACGTCATCAATAACAGTTGGGGTTCCACAGAATCCACATATTCGCTTCAGCTGGTTATCGAACGTTCCCGTCACATGCGGGAGGGGCTGGGGATACTCATAGTGAACGCCGCGGGAAACAGCAGCACGAATAATGACATAGAGCCTTTCTATCCAGCTGCTTATGATTATCAGAACACAATCTCGTGAGTTACTTTGCTCCAGGAGCAGCTTTGTTAGCTGCTTTGTCACCGTCAGCAGCAAGGGGACACTCAGAAGCTAACCATTCCAAGGCCTTCGTCCTTCTGAGGTCACATTTTTTCATGGATTTTTGCGTCTTCTTGTAACCCATTCGTTTGCAGAGTAGGCGCGTATGATGCTGATGGACAGCTCGCGTCCTTCAGTAATTACGGGGAGGCGTCGGTGTCGTTGCTGGCTCCGGGAGATAGGATCTACTCGACTTACCTTGACAACGGCTTCACGTTTCTTTCAGGGACGTCCATGGCAACGCCTCATGTTTCAGGTGTGTCATTTCTGCGCATCTTGATTATCGAGTTTGTTTTGAGGCCAAGCTCTGAGGAGAGTCCCGTCCAGTGCTGATGCCCCTAGACGAGTGGATGCTGTGTGTGGGTCAGTGTGTGGTGGGTCTTCAATATTGAAGAACACACGCCGCTGCACGTGCATTGGGCTAGCAGAATACAGCTTTGTAGGGGGGATGCGGCTTAGCTTGCTCGAATGTGTATGTGTGGATTTCCAGGTATTGCAGCGTTGGTTTTTGGGGTGTTTATGAAGGCGAATTCGGAAGTTACTGCAGCTGAAGTGAAAGATATCATTCATGCCACGCTGCTGGACCTACCAGCGGCAAAGGGTGTCACGCAATGGGGGGGAGCACCCGACGCAATGTCTGCAGTTCTGGTACGTAGACAGAATAGCCCTCGGTAAAGCTTAAACTCTTAACATCTAAAATCGTATGTAAATTTCTTCAGCTTCAGCGTAGTGCCTAGTTATACCTGCTGTAGAGCACAGCACTGCCAACTGGATTTTCAGTGGAGCAATGATTGCGCTTTAATTTTACTTGCGCTTTAATTTGACACTCCTTGAATGCAATAGAACGGTATCTGCCGTTGCGTTTCTTCTGCAGTAGCACGTAGTACACATGATATAGAGATGGAGGAAGGACCAATCATTTTCGGGCTTATCATACTTTAGCTAGCATTGTGTACGGAAGACAGCACATGGCTGTCCTGTGTAGCGTTGGTTGCGACGGCGATTTTATCGCTTCAAGGTCATGAATCGTCCTTGATGCTAAGGTCGAGGTAACGAATGGGCATTGCGCTGCCTGTTCTGCAGATGGCGCGCATGGGAGGCATGTGGTTCCAGATGAAATGCACGGACATGATTGTCGATCTTCAGCCAGAGGAAGTCTATGCATCCACAATATACATCCGCGGTTACGCAGAGGGCATATACACGTGAGTCGGCAGCCGAAGTGAGGCGCGTAAATTCGCATTTGGCTGCGTTGTTGGTTTCACGTTTACAGTTGCTTTCTGCACCACGTTGTTGGCATTAAAAGGGATAACTGATGTGCGTGCAAGCGGTAACGACTCATTGAAAGTAATATGAAAAGTGAATGGGGTGTGAATTGTCGTGCAAAATAGGGCGGAGATCCAAGTAGAAGTCTACGACGAGGAGGCCAACATGTTGGGATCAGCACAGATTCCAGTCCGTCTAAACAGCAGTAGCAACCCAGCGACAAATTCGCCGTCCGATGAAACTGCAGCGTCTGCATTCAGCAGCCACGTTAGTGAAAAGGATCAGGGAACCCCTCTATGTGATGTACAGATGAAGTACACGGGCACTCTTGAAGGTACGTTGTATACATCAGCACTGCCACTTGACTGTGCTTTTTGCTGGTTTCCAATTCTCTCATAGCAGCAAATAAACGGCGAATGGAATCCGGCACATGTTTGCCCGCGTGTAAACTCACGTCCAATATTTTTTCTGCTCATGCGGACTTCCTTAGATGGCGACGGCTGGTCTGAAGGGGAAATAGCAGCTCTAACACTTGGTTGCCTGGCGATTGTCGCTGGAGCAGCTTGCATCATCTTTTACTTTCGCTAGTAAGCATTTTGCTCTTTCCTACCCTATGGCGACCGCTGCATAGACTTCATCTGATTTTCAGCTTAAGAGTTGTAGCCTTATGTAACATGTTGTGTGTGGAGCTCATTTCGCTCTTACAGTTTCGTTTCTTTTGCGCAGCACGACGCTGCGTAGAGTTCCAAGAGCTCAGTTGCTAGCAGAGAAACAATAGGGGCTTCACGTGCTTGCTGATTGTCTGCAGCAAAGCTAAGCAGCCCGGTGAGGGACCCAGCAGGCCGAAAGCAGTTGACAGGAAGGAATTTGGAGAGCCTGACGCAATGACTGCCTTGCTGCAAGACGATTGAAGGCTCCTCAGTCATGGGATAGAATGGTGGCCCCATCGTTTTTGCTCCAGGGAGAACCTGAGGAGTCACTGAGCCGTTTTATCGATCTGGGTATGAGTGTATGTTTTTTTCTAACAACTCTTCAACGAATTTCTCTACGGCAACGTTCATGCTGTTGCCCGTTTTTACCACATTCAGCAGAATCTGTGAAGGGGGGACGGTGGATTAGTTGTCTTCCTTCTTTTGGCTTCTCATCCAGTCTTGGTTGCACTTCGTCGAAGTGTGGCGCGAGGCGGCGCAGTATGATTTGACTGCTCGGTGTGCGTAGTACGCCACCGTTTTTGGCAGAGAGCGGGCCAAGGAGTCCACGTGCTCTCTTTTGCAATTCATCTTCTTTCATGGGATTTATATGTTTTGTGGGAATTTGTGTACATATTTCTCACATTAAACATATAGGCGTTTGTTCACCGTACGCTGTTCTGTGCCCGTCTTGGCTAATATGGACAGCCGAAAAAACTTTACTTAGGCAGAATTCGGGCTCTTGTATGTGTACCTTTGTTCTTCGTCTCGTCGACGCATCGCTGATTAAGCCGAATTATGCAGACTTTTAAACGCTCAGTAACAAAAGGCAAAGAACAGTTAGTTTCAAAGGCAGCATATTCAGCATTTTCTGTAGACAGGCGACGCGTATATATGCCTGAGACCGCGGTGGTTTGCTTTAGGCACGGATAGTCTGAGCAGCAACGGAAACTCGCAATTCAGTTTTAGCCCCACATCAGATGTAAAACTTATGTATAGGGGATTTTCCGGAGTGTAGTTTCGCATTCTGTTAACTCTGATGTGTTCGCCCGGATCGAAAAAGATACGGCCATGGGATATTCTGTCTACGCGTAATCGTATTATCTCAAATATTCTCCCCACCACTTGAAAAGTTATCGTGCCTTCATTTAAATCCATTAGCTACGCTGTTTGGAGAGTGGCGATAGGCTTTTCAAGAATCTACACAGCACTACCACTTTTGTTCGTGTTCGGTGCAGTTAAGTGTGCGGAGCACCGGGCTGTAGAATGCCTCTATAGAATATGGTGCTGTGCAGGACAGGACAGATCTGAAGGATTGCGCCCCCACATTGGAGATTTTAGTTGCTATTTCATTAATAACCATCTGCGAGGCAACATAGATCCGTCCAATGCTAACAAAATGCACAAACGCTGATGCATGGAATGTACTTGAAAGTGGTGAAGCGAGCACTCTGGTCTTGACAGTGGTGCTCCTGCTGGGTTCCCTGTATATGGTTTTGCGGCTATAGATTAAAGCATCAGGAGGAGCAAGGCAACACTATATTAAGCAGAGCACAAGGAAGAAAAAAAGCATTGCTTTCACACAAACACAGGCAAGGGGGGTTTGTTAGGTCACGGTTAACCTCGCTATGAGGAAGAACAGGTGACACATTTGCGTGGCACTCCCAAATAATCCCTTAGCACCGTTTCGCGGGACATGCCTGTGCTGAAGATAAAATTCGCGGCGTTCGTCCTAAGAATGAGTCGGAGGGGGTTCTACGACATCGCCGGAGACCAGGCCGAGCGCTCTGCAACACGCGCGCGCGCGGGCGCCTACAACAAGCCACAAGAGCCACTTGCTCCTGAAATATTTTGTGCTTAGCACTGTGTCATTAAGAAGACCTGCTTTAAGCCTCTAACACTCTTTTTTACGGGACAGTACTTGCTCCGTCGTCCCTACCATTGTCTGAAAGCTGTCAAAATACTGCGACCGCACCTCAGAGACACAGACACAAATTCAAGACCCATTAGGTGTACAGTGTACGTAAGAGGATATTAAGTCACACTGCATTGGCTCTAACCGTTAAATTCACTGCAGTGCTGGACATGAAATCTCCACAAAGCGCTCCAGGAGGTACAGTACGGACCAATGTCCGTTACATCGGGGTCACTAGGCCCGGAAGTGCCCACAAAGGCTCTGAATATTCATTTAGTTACTGAGAGAGCAGCAGAAGCAGCGTTAGCGAGTTCCAGCTGGCGTACCTGAGGTGAACGGCGTCAGCACACAGGCAGGCATTGGCGCCCAAAATAGAGAGCATCGTTTTCCTATCCCCTGGCTGAGACCCATTACAGATCTGATGCACCTCCACGCAAATAACAGAAACTTCTTTAACATCAACTTTGCACGTTGGTTAATTGCTACGGATTCCTATGAACATGTGGCGAGGGCCTACTGCAGTGCGACGTCTAGGCATGGTTCCCGCAGACGACATACGTCTGTGCCCACCAAACAAGCAGGATAGCACCTAGATTTATGCTGGCTTATTGTTTCTGACGCCATTTGCTGTTCCTCAACTATGTTATGGCGAAATTTGGTGCCAACGACACTACAGCGGTAACAATGCTCGCTGCGTGCGAATGGCGGAGGTCGAATACGCACACAGTCTGTAAACTCCTGCTAATCCTTTCTCTGCGGGGTCAAATAAGTAAAATTTTCTTGCTAATAGAGGATGATTTCGGAGAGTTTAGCTTGAAATGCTCACTAATGCCCGGCAGGACTGGAGGTTGGCGGAGTCTGAAGGATCGAGCATGCAGGAGGAGCGGACGCTCCCAAGGCGCTGCTCGAAGTGCCAATAGCGCGTTTAATGCCTCATTAGGATTAAAAAATGGAGGCAAGTTCAAAAGTATCTGCTAAACAATGTCAAACATTTTCTAAGGGGAAGGAGAAAAATCGTTCGCCTTCCCCAAGTCGTTGTCGGTAAACGATGCAGCTGGCAGCTCACCCCAACGTTCGAACACGGAGTCACGCGTGGCTCTAGAACCACATTTCCTACTTAGTTTTCATAGAAAAACAGCGGTTAATGCGCGCTTTGGCCATAGCATTGCAGCAGCAGCGTCGACGTAACGGAGTTCTGGGGAGCCTAGGGAGCCAGATTTTGCGACCAGTAGCTGCACCCACAGCAGCAGCTTGTGGTGGCGGCTAGAGCAGCTTACGGCTCCCCTGTGTTTTCCAGGCCTTTCTGCGGTTCGTGCCAGGTTGCTGCGGCGCTGCGTTTTGCTGGTAAGTTTTGCGTGCTGCTGGCAGCTGAGGCTGGCCCCTTAGACGGGCCCCTCGTTAGCGTGATCGCGAGCTCCTTGCGAGTCTTGCCTTCACGTCTATCTGTGCTGCCTGCTGCCCCCCTTTAGCGCCTCCGCCGCATTTTGCTTCTGCTTTCCCGTGGACCCGATGTCGTCATCACCTTCGCCTCCGGCGCCTCTGTCGGAGACTGTGGGCGCCGCTGCAGCCCCTGAAAAGCTCCCAGGCGAAGGCCCTGTGGATTCCTACGCGGTCAGTCCAAGCCTAGAAATCGACGAGGCAGTGTATCCCCAGCAGCCGCAGCAGCAGCAGCAGCAGCCGCAGGAAAATGAGACGCGGACGGAGGGGGCCGGCGGTACCGAGAAAACCCGGAAGACGCACCGCAGAAGAGAAGAAGAAAAGCCCACGAGAAGGAACACAAAAACGCAAGGCCGGGAGAGGGGGCGGCGGCGGTCAAGAACTTACCGGCGGCGGCTGAGAGTGGCAGAGGAGAAGACGAGGCTGGCGAAGCTGCGGCGGTCAATGAAGAGCATGATGAAGCAGCCGGACGCGGCGTTTCAGTTCAGCCTGAGTGCAGCACTTGTGTTTCTTTTGTTTTCTTTGGCGGTGCGCTCGCTGCTGAGGACCGACGCGGACTTGGACTCCGAGCTGGTGCTGCGGCCTCTCCTCGAAGACGAAGACCTTCTCCAGCCCTCCCCAGCCGCCTCTTCGTTGCCGCCGCCGCCCCCCCCGCCCCCCGCGCCGCCCCCAGTGCCCAAGCTGGCGCTGCGCGTGGGGCTGGGCGAGGCGGAGGTCAACGCGCTGCACAAGGAGCTCCGAAACGCAGTTCGCCAGCTGCGCCGCACTTGGCACAAGTGCCTCAGCGACTCCAAAGAGGACTTCGCCGACGCTTTCCTCCCCAGCGAGTTCCAAGAAGACCCCCTGGCGCCCTTCGTGGGGCTCGTTGAGGAAATCGAAAAGGAACGCAGGCCTCCTTTGCCCGTGGGCTTCGAGGACCTCGTGAAGCAGGCGGAGCCCGAGATTGTCGGGGCCGCCGCGATCTTCCACACTGACAACGAAAACGGCGGGGAGGACTGCAACAACTGCAGCAAACGAAACTCCGGCGCAGAGAGCAGCACCATGAGCTCCGGCGTGTACAGCAGCGCCACTCGGATCTCCGTCGCGGACATCAGCAAAGGAAGCTCCGAACCCGGCAGCAGCAAAACGAGCTCCGGCACTGACAGTGCCTCAAGGGCCTCAGACCCTGACAGCAGCAACAGAAACTCGGGTACCTACAGCAACAAAGCAACCTCAGACCCCGACAGCAGCACAAGGACCTCAGATGCCTCCAGCAGCGCTAGAGTCTCAGACGCCGACAGCACCGCAAGGACCTCTGACGCTGACAGCGCAAGAAGCTCAGGGACTTACAGCAGCCCAAGAAGCCCAGACACTGACAGCGGCATACGGAGCCTAGGGGATTACAGCAGCGTGAAACCCTCAGTTGCTGATAGCACCAAAAGGAGCTTCGCCGCAGACCTGATGCAAGACCATACAGAGGAACCCCTCAACCCGAAGGGGAAAAGGGAAAGAATTCGTGTCAAAAAGGTTCAAGAGGACGAAGATGAGAGCGAGACTGAGGCAGGCTCGGACAGCGAGACTGATGAAGTCGAAGAGACACAAGAAGGAGATCCGGCACACCCAGTTCAAATTGGGTTGGAGGAAGCAAGCGCGTTCGCAGAAGCTACAGCAGGGGCTGACCTGCTGCAGCACGTGCAGCAGGGAGAGCTCGGGCAACATGAGGCGCCGTTGAGCATAAAGGCCGCCGCTGCCCTGCGGGCTGCTGAGGCGATGATAGAGGCGAGAAAGGAGTATGTGGGTCGGCTGCTGCTGACTCTAGAGGTACTTAAAGCGGCAGAAGTCCGCGTGGAGACGCTGGCAAGAGTGCGCCTCTTCGCACGCTCCAAGTCCTTGCCTTCGCCCCCGTTCTACTACTGCGGGCGGCCGCTGCCCACGCCTGAGGGCTACAGAAAGAAACGGAAGTACAGCTACGTTTCTTTCGACTTCTTTCTGCACAACCTCCCTCCCCATCTGGTGCCAGAGAACCTTGAAGGTAAAAACGAGGAGCCCGTGGTTCCCCGCGATGTTGTCACTTTCCTGACTGGTGCGGTTACCGTAGCGGATGCGCACTTGAGAAACAGCAAGGCTGTCAGCAGGTCGTTTGGCGGTTTTCTGACGGCTGTGGAGCCGACGCAAGCGGAAGCAGCAGCAGTAGCTCCACCAGACGCGTCAGAAAGGGTGAAAGCAGCAACAGAAGCAACGGCGGCGGCTGTTGAAATGCAGCAGGAAAGCCCAGAGATGGCGTTGCCACTGCCCCCGGCTCTGGGCTCCGTGTTCCCCATGCATTTGTTTCGCAAAGTTGTTGAGGAAATGCAGCAAAGGCGAGATGCGGCCAGTGTGGACACAAAACAAGTAGAGGAGTGGGGCAGGAATTTCCACACTGCGCACATCTGCTCAGAGCTCGCGGGGTTTCTCGAGAAACAGAGGGCCACCACTCGTGATTTGCGCAAAAGAAAGGAAGCCATCATACGTCAGTGGGCGAAGCTGCAAACGGACAAGCCAGCCCCTAACCACCCCTTCATCTTGGCGCTTTACCTGCTCTAGAGGGCAAAATAGCACATTTTCGTGCTGCACTCCTGCTGCAGTGCCTTTTGTTTTTCTTCACTAGAGGCTCCAGGCTAATGGCGCTGCGGCTACCAACGCGTCGGACGAGGCAACGGTTCAGAGGCTTAGCTGCGCTGCAGCCACGGTGCTGCTCCTGGTGGGCCGCAACAGCCAACAACTGGGAAATGTGCAGGGCATGCAGCTGGAGGTGGAGCTCACCAGAATGTGCATTTTTTACAAACTCGCACCTAGAAGGCGCAGGCGCAGAGGCTTGGGGGAGTTCTAACGGGTCCGTTACTGACCCTACACAGCGGTTTCAAGCTAACTAGTCAGGGGCTGATCAGCCTTTCGATGCTGTAATAGGTAAAGGATAATATGGGTCGTTGACGGCCTCGTCCTGTCCATCTGTACCTTTTGCTAAGGCTTGTTTTTTCCTGAATTGTAAATAGACTTGGATCCAAAAAGCTGATAAATAGCGATACTTCAGATCAAGCGAAGTAGGAAAGAGTCTATCTACCCTACGCAAATATGCCGCTATCTTTGTAGCCAGCATCTGGGAAAGTTGATGGAAAGGACACCACCTTCTGGTCTACAGCTTAAGTGTAAGTCCGTATATCTAAGTTCGTAATTCACTACCTCGCTAATAATGATTCTACCAGCAAGCCTGCTAAAAGTGAGCTCCTGCGTGACACAAGGCGTCTGTTAATTTGCGCTTGGATGCACCTCTACGTCCTTCAAGAACTGCCAAAGACTTAAAAGAACAAACGAAAGTATGTCTGTGCATGCAAATGCAAGCTTGCACACATATACACATGCGCCATACTTGAATGCTAAGCCCTTAACGGCCAATAGCACTGGCGAAAAAATCAACTCAACCCCCGCCATCGCCACCCCGAAACATGTGGTGTCTATGTATCTGGCCAGAGCTCGACTTCGGCAAGAGCCCCTCAACTTTTCGCCGAACTCTTGCGGCCAGTTTCTCGTCATTAACAGGACTTACGACATCATCTACGAACGCCTGCAACAACCACCAAAAAACAGATGTCACTGCATGTAGGCGCATATAAATATATATATATATATATATATGAATACACATATCGGGCGTGGGTGCAAGTATGCCCGCAAATCTGGACAAGTGAAATTATGTTTTCGCATGCAGCTGTGGGCGCACCTACAAATGCATTGCACGCATACCCATCCACGAACTCATGGAGGCACGTTCACATCATAGCCTGGCTGAAAGTGGAATTAGCTATGTCTTCTACAAGGATGCGTCTGCCACCGGCGTCAGCAAAATATCACCTTGCACCCAAATGCAACTCAGCATGGATTTTTTCATTTCGAATGCACAAAAGGCTCATGAACGAAGTCTACAGATGCCCGAATGGTCGCGTATTCCCCGTATTTGTACTGCCCATTGATGTCCACACAACACCGCCTTTGCGGGTAACTACACCGAAGCCTCCTTGGATTGAGCTCTATTGTCTTCAGCAATATGTTAACATGCAAATGCGCAAAGGTGAGCAGTCACCCAAGCGAAGGAATTTGTAACTCAGGTTCTCCATTAACTCGCACTTGAGTTCGTGTGCATGTACTGAGTTAGACTGCATGCAGCTGATTTACAATGCATGCAGCTAGGCGATAAACCGTGAAGTCTGAAAGCCAGAATCCTTGAGTCTGCCTTACCAGCATCAAAAGCCTCTTGGCTTTATCTATAGGAAGTCCGCGGCTCATCATATAGAAGAGCGGCTCCGTGTCAAAGTCCCGTATGGCAGCTCCATGCGTGGCCTGCGAGCACCAAAGCACGAGACCTAACCTCTGAAAGATAAGTGCTAACTCCTAGGGCCCTAGGGTTTAGGGTTAAGGCAAGCCAAGCCCTCACATCACAGCAACCAAGGGCCTGCACGCTAGAACACGACCTAAGCACCGAAGCCCCAAAGCCCAATTCAATTTTCCTAACTTGAGCAACTCATGCATTAATCCACAGAAAATAAACCTAAGATCTCGGCCTCAAGCCATCAGCTCTGTCCAAAAAACCAGCACTCTCGATCAGGCAAGAGCTTAGGAAGCCTCCACATTACCTTTTTGATATCCTCAGGAACAATTTCGAGAGTGGGCACTGCGACACATCTCGCGCCGTCCTCGAGCAAAATAACACGATTTAAGGACGAGGCACTCGCTCCTGTTCCCTGCCGTTCTATCCTTATGCGCCCCCGCCATATAGCCCGAGCTGCATGCAGCGAAGCGGAAGTGACCAGCTACGCAGTGAGCACTTTGCCTGTCTTCCTTGCAATCTACCTAACAAGCTAGCTGCCTAGCTCGCTACCTTCACGGCTAGTTACCACGTGCTGCCGCCGTGCGTGGCCTTCATTTGCGTCAAAACGTGGCTAGCTAGCTAGCTAGCTAGCTGTTAGCTAACTAGCTGGCTGCAAGCTAGGTGGCTAACAAATACTAATAGTTTCGGGGCGCTGCGGGTCTGCGTGTCTGACCTTTTCCTGCCACAAGGCTCTTGTGGACCTGATCTGTCTCTGCGTCCGGGGCAATGTGGTGCAGCATTTCAAATTTGGAATGGTCTTGGTCTTTGTTTAGCAACGAAATGCCCCGAGATACGTGTGACGAACCCTCAGAACCCTCCACCTGCATTCCGTAGCAAACAATCAAAGCACAGACACCCTAAGCCTTAGGCCGTGCGCGCTAAAGCCTGCCTACCAAGTCCTAGGCTAAGCGCTGTGCCACCCTATTTTAACTATTTAAGTAAAGCTACAGTTGCATGCATTCCTGCCCGCTGTTGCAGCTTCCCGCTGACCAGATCGCCGCTGCTGCCGCTGCTGCTGCTGCTGTGGCTTTGCCGGAGGCGTTTTGGCAGCTAGCTGCTGACTTGGTGGTGGGGCTGTTACCTGCAAAGCGAAGCGGCTGAGGGCTGCTCCCAGGTCGACAAAAGTGAGTTTGTACTTCGATCGAGGCTGGCAGCAGACAGAGAGGTTCTCAAAGTGTGCGCTGTCTTCATCAAGTTCCTGCAAACAAGTTGAACGGCATGCGCAATAGACGCAAATGGAATATACAAAGATTGAGCTATTAAATCCCTAGCTTTAAGTGCTGTTTTTTTTACTGTTTGAATGCGCGCGGCGAGGTAATCACGTGTACGCTACAAGCAGCTCAAAACAGTGGGAAGCCCGCAGCAGCAGCGGCAGCAGCAGCAGCAGCAGCAACACACGCCAGCTTAGCTGCAGTGGCAGACCAATACTCAAGCTAGCTGGCTGGATTTCCAGTCCGCAGGAAGAGCTGGCTACCTGGGAATAGACATGATGCAACTCTGCACCTTCTTCCAGGACCACTCTTGTGGCTGAGTTGACACAAGGCCCCCTGAACCCCTTTTGTGTCAGCTTCTGCTGCTGCTGCTGCTCCCGTTTGTGCTGCTTGAGCTGCTTCAGTTCCTGCTGCTCCGTCGGAGACAACAAAGAAGAGAGGCTGACTTGGGTTTGGTGTATTTGGCACTTTGCGTTGCGGCCTACGTGAATTACAAAACGAGGGTTTATCAGCGGAGTCGCAATTCTTGCATTATCGCTGCTGCTGCTGCTGCTGCTGCTTCCGCCTTCACCAATGCGATCTATCTCATCTGAGGTTGTTACATGAATGACTTGTAAAACAACGGGCTTCCTCTTGGAGCGCCCATCTGTGTTCCCTGTCTCTTTAACTGTCGCTGCATCTCCTTCACCTTCACCAGCCCCTGCTGCTCCTCCTAGTGCTGCTGCTGTTGCTGCCCTCTGGGAAGCCTCTTCCTGCTCATCAGCACTGCTGTCATCGCCAGCAGCAGCAGCTGCATTGGCAGGCTCTTCCTCCCAGTCAGTAACAATCAGCGCTGCTGCGTCATGCATCCCCGCAAGATTCAGTGCAGACATCTTTGCCATTCCAAAGTCCAACTTGCGATAGTCATAAATGGCAAAGTCATTGTCATACTTGCGGCTCGTCTTCCCCACCTGTGAGTACACCCCAAAAGCCACACGTCTATGTGCATGCATGCGCACATCTGCAAGCAATCTGTGCGAGTTTTTGTCCATTTTACATCCTTTAAAAGGCACCTACGCTCCCCACGTATAAACGTGAGCCCATATGCACATGAACTGTATATATATGTATATATATGTGCGTGTATATACACGTACACATACACATAATGCATACATGCATAATGCATATATATACACATTCGTACACATATGTAGCGCAAAAGCATGCAACAGCTGCAAGGAGCAAACGCGCGCGACCATTTGAGTGTACGTACAGGCAAGGAGCCACGAAACCTGTGTTTTGTGGCTCTTTGGGTGTATATACGCTCAAGTGAAATGAATGCATGCAGAAGCTTATAAGCACAAAGAAGCAGCAGCTCTCTGCAGACTCAACGCGCCTGTGGGCACTTGTGCAGTCCGCGGAAAGCCCCACCTGGCCTCTGTGGAAAGGCTGAGTGTTCTTCCGCCAGTAATTCGTATATTCAGGAATAAACCTCAGCTGCTGTTCGATCTCTGCCCTCACTGGTGCGTCTTGCAGATCGAAGAAGCTGCAGCAAACTGCAGGCAGCGGCTCCCCTTCCCCGTTCTCCCCGTCCTCTGGCTCTCCCGCAGCAGCAGCAGCTGCTGCTGCTGCGGCTTCTGCTGCTTCTGCCGCTGTTGCCGTCTCTGGGCAGCCGCAGGAGCTCTCTTTGTGCGCGCTGTGCTGCTGCTGCTTCTCGTGAGGGTTTTTCCGCTCCATGCCTTCCAGCTGGCTAGCTGCCACTCCCCCCACCTCTTCTTGGTCAGCTAGCTGGCTAGCTAAGACCCCCACGCCCCTGCTGAGGCTGGGATCGACGATCCCATCCCGCAGCACCAGCACTGCGTCTGCATGCGGCAGCACGTACTCCTCCAGGTGCTGCGGCAGCAACTCGCGGTGTACAGACACCCGAGAGTCAAAGCGAGTGAAGTACAGATGGCGGAGCTCAGAGCCTAAGCGCCAGCTCTCTAGCCGAGAGTGGGGAGTGGGCAATTCCAAACATGCATCCCTGCAGCAGCAGCAGCAGCAACAGCAGCAGCTACAGAGTCAGGCCTGCTGCAGCGGGCTCGGAAGGCGAGACCGGCATACCATGCACCAACGCTTCAAAGCGCAAAGACCGCAACAGCAGCAGAAGCAGCAGCAGGGGCTGCTGCTGCAGCCATGACTCACCATCCTGCTGCATTCATAAGTTTAAAAACATTATAAAACCTGTGGTTTATATTAGTTAGACTTCCAGGCAAGGGAAACGGTGGAGGAACTGCAACAAGACACAGACACGCCGGCAGCAGCGGCTCACCCACGGATGCGCCGGCGCTTGTGTGCAGCAGTACCAGCAGCACAGCGGCAGCACAACAGCAGCAGCAGCAGCACAAAAGGAGCAGCTTCTATGTTGCTGCAGCAGCACTGCAGCTCTTGGAAATTGGTATTTCGCCAGCCTCTAACTCAAAGCCTGCGTAGTTGAAAATCATGCTCACCTGCTTCTCTCAATGAGTCAGTGTTTGTTAGTTCTCCCGTGTCTGTTTGCTGCTGCATGCTTGCTGCTTCCTTGGCTTCCTGCTGTAGTCGCCAGTCCGTTTTGTACTGCCTGTGCTGCTGCTGCTGGTGGCGCTGCCGCAGCCAAGTTGCTGCTGCTGCTGCGCGGCCCTCCAGAGAGCGCACAGCCACGCCCAAAGTCTTCAGCCAGAAAGCCTGCAGCAGCGGAAAACAGAGAAAAACAAAAAGAAAGAATAAAAGTAAAAGATAAGCAGCAGAAGCTGCAGCAATAGGGCAGCAAATGCAAAACAAATCAGATTATCTCCCAGCCTTTGGCTGAGAGAATTAAACCTGGCAGCGCCACAGACACCCGCAGCTCAGAAAGCCATGAAAGGAAAAAACAGGAAAAGAAAAATAGACAAAAAGTGATTTAATGAAACAGAAATTGGGGAAGAAACAGCTAAATGAACGGAAAAGAAAGAGAGGTGCCAAGATAGCCGAGAGAGCAATGAAAAGAGACACAGAAAAAGGCAAAAGCGAAGTGAAAGGCAGCAGCGGCCTCAGGGGCCGCCGCAGCAGCAAAAGGTCGTAGCAGCAGCAAACGGCCGCAGCAGCAGACGCAGCAGCGCAGCAGGGAGTCTCAGGACGAGTCCCAAGGTGTAAATTAGGAAATGGAAAAGATAGAAAGAGGTAGGAAGAGGAGCTAGGCAAGCAACTGCAGCAGCAGCACCGCCTGCAGCGGAACGCGCAGAGCTGGTGGAAGCAGCGGGCAGCGCAGCAGCAGCAGCGAGGAGAAAACGAAGAAGCAGATAAGAGATAAACAGAAAGAAAGTCCTGCAGTCAGCGAGCAGCAAAGAGGGCAACGGGGAGGCCCTAAAGGAGGCAGAGAAGCAAAAACACAAAGAGGGAAAACGCAGCACTAGAGCCCTTGTGCTGCTGCCCTTCTTTTGCTACTTTGCCTGGAAGCCAGCGAGGTGTACAGACACCTCGAGTGGCTGCGCGCACAGGCCCTGCTGCTGGAGTGTACAGACACCGCCGCTGGGGTGTATGCGCAACTCATTTGGGGCGCATGCAGGAGAGAACTGGGGTGTCTGTACAGCTCGGCTGGGGTGTACGTAAACCTGAGCCCGGGGAAGCTCACGCACTTGTCTTTTTCGCTCCAAAGGGCTCACAAACTGCAACTTTAGTCGATTTCGCAAAGCAGAATGAGTTGTGTCGATATCCGGTTTCGACAAGTGGCTCAGCGACAGAGTCGAAATGGCGGTGGAGTTCTGCGGTGTACAGACACCGCAGCGAGCCGCAGCACTCGTTCGCAAACACCGCGTGCATGCAGACGCGCAGAAGTCAAGCAAAGAAAAATAAATTAAACAAATAAAAGTTCAAAAATAGAAGCAACAGTAAAGGCTTCCAACAGCCCTAAGACAGGAGCACCCGCTGTCAGACTTGCTGGCAACAGCAGCAGCAAGGAGGCTCTCCGCAGCAGCTGCAACGGCAGCGGCCGCAGCAGCCGAAGCACTAGCTGGGGCAAC